ATACAAAACCACTATTGTAATATTGACGTAATGCTTTTCAGAAAAGTTTCATATTTGCTTTCTCGCCCATCGCCCGTCGTTTTTCTTTAACAGAGCATTCAAGTCTAAGTTTGTAACTTAGACACATTTCAATGAAACCTAAATTAAATGGAGTCAGGGGCTGCTATTTGGGGTATGAAATTAACAGCCAAGCGAAGTGTAAGAGATGTGGGTCTCTCATAAAAGGAATCCTGGTTATACATTTACACCATTATAAAACTTTTGTATGAGATATGAGTCAGTTCATAAAAAATTCAAGAACAACTCGAGAAAATCCAACGACGATCACAGGAACAAGAAAATATAGAATTTGAAAAAATAGAATAGATATTTTGGATTGTCGTCTATTGGAGGAAACTAGACAGCACACCCGCCTCATTACTTTTTACAAGATTCTCCGAAACGAGTTGGCAATTAAACGTGGATGACTACTGTAGATCAAACAGTAAGACGGGGGTCGCAAGAGACAACTTATATGAAACAACAAGGTCAATACAAAGATTACTCCTTCTTTCCTGAGTCAATTTTTACACAAAACAAATGACCTCATTCAACCGTTATAGTGCATATCTAAATTTCAATTATTAGTCAGAGGGGAAAAGAAGCCTTGTTAATTAGGGTATTATCCTCGTCGAGCCCCCAAGGGTGGCTCCGGAGGGGGGGGGCAACGGGGGCCATCCCCCAAAAAACAAAGCCGATGATTTTTTTTTTAATCAATGGGAAGATATTAAGTGTCTTTAAATGGAGGTTGTTTTGAATGTATGCACAGAACCATGTTGTTCAGGAAATTGTTTCTGAGTAGCTACTTAATTTTGACAGGTGCGATCAGTTAATGCAAAAGTGCAACGGGGACGCTGCTTACTTGTTCCCCCCCCATGGAGGTGTAGATCCCGCCTTACGAGCCTCCAGTGATACGCATAGTAGGTGCATGTTCTTCAGAGGGACAGGCCACAAACAACAATTACTTCATAGCTTTTCACATAATCTTTCCAATAACAAAGCAGCCGTTCTGTTTTTCTCTTCTGTTCTCCAATCCTGTTGAACATCGTTTTCCCAAGAGCAATTTACCACATCATCATTACTACCACCATGCCCACAATCAACACCCCACCACAGTCAGCAAGTTCATTCAAGAACGGGGGCTTCATTGTTTTAAAATTTTCAGCAATTGTTGGTGTTTCACTGTCAAAAAGCACAAACGTGAAAGAGAAACGTTGGACGAGAGAATCAATTTTTGTGCAGAACAGTTTTCTTCATTGGACGGATTCAAAAGAAAAGAAAGACATGCCTTATAGAGCATGCGCACGTGCAATTTGCAGTTCTGGCTTAGAGGTTTGATATAGGAAGCGGACGCTGTCCAAGGTGGTATCGCTCCTTCCTTGTCGAGGAGAGATTATCGAGCCCATGCCCGGAACCCACGGCATACGACCCACCGTGTATTATATGGAACGCCAAAGAAACAAAAAATCGGAGGCAACAAATTGATCGTTATGTTACATTGATCGATCGTTCTCCAACATCGAAAACAGGAAAATCCACAGCGTAAGATATGAGTACGGACGCGTGTACATGTCGCCAGACCAGTCTGTAACCCGACAGGTCACGCATGACACGTACACGCATGCCTGAGATACGTTGGTGATTGCTTTGTGCTACGTGCACTGTTCTGAACATAGTACAGTATATGTAATTTATATGTATATGTATATGTACATATACATGAACGTTGTGCATGTGTACAAGACCGGTCCATTATGTCTTCCGACTGGAAAGGCCATGCGTGACATGTATACGTACGAACGTGCGTACAAAGCCGTACATACCAGTATGTTGGTTGCATATGCAGAGAGCTTTAGAAAAACCCGGAGTGCGTACTTTTTGCGAGACCTTAAGCAAAGACCGCCAAAGTTGCCACCGAGGAAAAATTCAATCGCGTGCTCGTAACGTTTGAAACGTACGGATCACGTCACAGAAGCACATTCGGCCGGTGTAAAACGCGGGCACTTTTAGCTTACTTCCGCCCACGATTGCAGTGTCAGCTGGCGTTCCTGTTGGCACACGAGTAGCTGCGTACGTAGAATACGGAGCTCAAGTTTTTTTTTTATAGAGCTCTATGCGTGCATAGAATGATCTGTGGTTTGCCTTAGCCCTGTACAGTGGTTGGTGTATTCCTTGACAGTACAGTACAGGGTGGTAGGCCCTTCCCCCAGAACTGTGGGGTCTGACGTCCGCCCCGCTTCCGTTGGAGCGGAGTGGACGTCGGACCCCACAGTTCTGGGGGTAAAGGAGGGTTTGTTTGCCGTGGTTTTCTAGTCGAAGGCGATTTACGCGGCCGTTAAACCGGCCGGCAGAGATCCAGGACGCACACACGCAAACCACGGCAAACGAGCTGCAACCCGTACAACGGCGAACCACTCTGGATCCCTGTACCATGGAGCTGATAGCTCCATGCCTGTGCACCGACTTACGAAGGCTATGCCAATGCCGTAATACAAACCGAACCACCGCAGACATGTGCGGGTATACATGTACATGTACGTAACCCACGCACGTACGTGCGTCAGCTGTCTGCATCACGATGCCGAGTCGAAAAACCGCCTTGAAGCGTCTGTTTTTTAAGTTCTTTGTTGTTTCGTCCACGTTCGGACGAAAATGGGGGGAGGGGGCACAGCGATATATGGTTATGCCATCATGAATAATTCAAAACTATTCTAGAGCCCATCATGCACATAAACCGTGCTTCCCGAAAAATATATATTATTCATTTGGGGGGACCAATCGTGAGCCTCTTTGATTACACATGTGACGCAGTATTGAATAAACATCCCCATATATAATCACGATCTATGGAATTCCATATCTGCCGTCGCCCGTCGTCCGTCGCATTTTGCTTTTTGTTGTGTCCCAATTCTGCCATTTACCAGTTCCAAACATGCCATTTCCCGTCGTGCGTCGTCCGTCGTGCGTCGCCGGTCGTGCGTCGCCCATCAAATGGGTTGCATAGGACCTGCAATGGCCGGGGTTTAACAAATGACAACGTGATGATTCCATTCACGTCTAAGGATCTTTTCCCAATAAGGCAAGTATAAATCCCACTTGCAGTACTAGTCCCATAATTAATGCCAATACCCCAGCCCTTTGACAAGAAAATGTCGCCTTTCTGAGAATTCAACCAAGTGTTTTTTGGGAAAAAACATTTTCAGCGAAAATGTTCAGGCCAACTTATCCACTGTCTAATTCTAATTTGCATACTGTAAAAACGTGCCGACTTGTTTTCATCAAATTCTAGAAAGAAATCTGCCAACCGATACAGATATTCCATTTTGTCCTCTCAATTTCACCTTGAAATACAGAAATACTAGACAGAGGTGTGGATAACCAATTGTTTATTAAATGTATTGTTAGAGGGCAATTACCACTTGGTTTAAGTTTCAGAAAATTTGACGAGTTGGTTTTGTGGGTGTGTATGCCATGATGGATAGACCAATGAGAACAGGTTGTCCAGCACATCAGCATTATTTATGGGGTTAACAAGTAACGTTACTGTTTAAAAGACTTATGTGAGCCTACCTGCAACCAATTTGGAGTATACAGCAGATTTCATCATAGGTATACCCGCCCTCAAAATAATGTTGAATCAGTTCGTCTCTTTTGAAAACTATTAAGGAATCAAGCATTGTAAATATTTTGTTATTTACATTCTGTTCTGTGGGATATCGTGCAGGGACAGAGAGTAATATTACATAGGCTATAGACCTAACGTCAGGCTGTTAACGAGTAAAGTTACCGCGTCTAGAGTAATTAAGTTATCGAGAAAAACAATCTACCCAAACAAAAGTCTATTTTGTTAATTTATTTATGTAAAAAAAATGGTATCATTTCATATACACGTTACTTAACCGATGTCAGGATATTATTTCTTCTTTCAAGTAGAGTTCGGCGCAACTGCAAAAACGAATACATATTCTAGTTCTATTGCTAAAATGAGAGTCAGGCATGGTGAATCGAGCGAACAAGGACCTGTGCATGTGAAACAATCAAGGGTCAAAGTTAAAAATACCACTGCGCAATCGTTACCAAAAAAAAAAAAAAAACCACGGGCGACGCACGACCGGCGACGGCAGATATGGAATTCCATAACGGTAAAGCAGGCACGCGCGGGTACGGGTACGCGGTGCATGGTTACCAGCTAGCTGTAGGGCACGCCCTTCGTTAGCGTAATAAGTTGTGCTGCCACGGCACAGAAACATCAAGGCGTTTAGTTACGGACCTTGACAAGGCACGCACTTGAGCAGGCTGAGAGTGGGGCTACGGTTTCACTGGGAATCCGATTCACTCGCAAAGCATAACGGCCCGACGTTACAAGTACAAGCAAACCTGCTGCAGCGAGGGGTATTGCGCAAGACACCGTGCAGTGTTTCTACGTATAGCAGGCCTGACGGCCGTGGTTGTCAAAATCATCGCCCAACGCCTTGATCAAGGCTATGGTTTCCCAAAACGCAACACAGAGACCACCTTAAACAAGGCAGCGTTATCGAGGGTTTTCGGGGCAGAAGTGACAATACGTATTCAAAGAAAATGGCATGTGAGTAAATCAGAGGGTGAAAGGCAACTCTGAACATTTCTGATGCCGATTGGATTCAAATCAAGACTCTAAATTACATGACTCGGTCTAGCATTTCTTCTGCCTTCATACAGGATCCTGTTGACCCTCGAGGTCATGGCCTCTGTTGACTCCCCGTCTATCCATCCCTGCAGGGATATATCCAGTTTTGGGTGGGGGTGGATTTTTGTCCCAAGACTACTGTCCTTTTTTCACCCGTAAAAACATTCTCCGACCTCCTATCAGGTGCTTCAATTCCTTAAAACAGATAAATAGAAATACAATAAAAATTCGGAAACATGCGTAGGAAGGGACTCCCCCCCCCCGGATACGCCACTGCTATCCTATTGTTTCTTACCAGCTCATTCCGGATTGCCTCCGCTTGCTCAGTAGCGTTTACCTCAAGGGGGGTTCAAGGTGCCTCGGCCCTCCCCAGCCATGATGTCACTTTTAAGGAAATGAAAGCACTAACAATTTAGAAATGGCACTGCAACTTTTCTCAGAGGCGGGAAGATTCTTTTGCAGAAAAAAATCGGGATAGTCCTCTTTTCAGAAAAAAAAAATCTATGTTTACCTGCCCCTCGAACAAGACCTGGATGACTGCTGCACCAAACTTAAAAACTGCGTTTGCTGGCTAGGAGAGCGGGAGCCTAGGCCTAAATGTTTGACCGGATTAATTCAGTCACCGTTTGTTGATAGTGCTAGACTCAATGTATGGACTCAATTCTGATATTGTCGTTTCGTATAAAATCGCTCTATTGATGCCAAAGCTATCAGATAAGCTGAGTTCCACGTTTGCCTGAGGAAAGTCAACTTGACACAGGAGCTGTATAAGGCAAGTGTCATATCAGAGCTTCTTGTGTGACCGCAGTTACTCAGTTGGTTCAAGGCTGTAGAAGATTTCCTTATTTTGCAGACAATGATTTCCAAGTCCACTGACCCTTGGTTTTGATAGACCCTCCTCAGACTGACTTTGATCCTATCTAACTTAGTTGATAAAACGTTAAAGGTGATCTGTAATCACACACGACAATAATGACGCGACAACGCTGCGATATCATCCGACCTTGGTTATTTGGGTTAGTCGCTGTTGCTGCTTTGTCGACGATGATCGGAGCGGATGTATATTTTGTCGTCATCTCCAGAAAACAAAACTGCCACAGACTGAAATCTTGATCTGGTGGTAACCTATGTTTTTTTTTGCTTGGTCGACTTTTGATGGATGAAGCATCAGCGAATATTCCTACAGCGAATGTGTTTCACACTCTTTGCGTTCAGAAGTTGAGTGCTCTGGGTACCTCCCTTGCTGGCCTTCTAACAGTCTACCAAAAGAGGACTGAGGACTCCTGGCCACAGAAGACTTTGATTTGTTTCCGCAGCGTATTACTTTTTTATTGGAAATAGGGCGCTAACTTAACGCCCATCTCCCCATCTTCTAACGGCCGATTTCCGACAATTTTGGAAACAGCTGAACGCTCCAATTGTTAGTTGTTTCTTCGATCGATAGTCTTTGGCCTCACTGTAAAAGCATATATGTACTATAAAGATTAAAAATCCTTTGCTCTTAAATGAATCTTAATCATTTTGATTGCATCCAACCCCTAAGTCAGTAAAAATTATCCGATAGCGAGGTGTAAATAAAAATAAAAACAGAAGCCTAAACTGCACACATGTTTACACGAAAACAAAACTGATTGCAAGAAAGAAACCCAATTTGAACAAAATTGAAAAACGTATATGAATTCGAACGCGTGTTAATGAAAGGGAACTTGTGTTGCAGAAGTTGGTCCGAAAAACCTTTATCTTATTTAATTGCAAGATGGTAATAAACACCGTCATTTTTGTAATTTCATACAAATACAAATAAAACAGTTCTTGAAAACCTTTGGTATCAACGGCACATTTCCGTGTTGGCTCGCTGAGAAGGAACACAGAAGAAGTTGAACTATCACCACAATAAAAATTGGTGCTGTTGTGCGCATATACACACCAGAGCTGAAGAGAATTCTATAAATTATGTCAAAACCTTTTCACACGCAGAAACGCGTAGGATTGGGGAAAATATCGTCAAAGGGAGAAGTGGTACAAGTAAGCATGCAGGGTCACTCCATCGAAAAGAAAGAAGCCTAAATGAATAATGGCAGCTACATGTACATGTAAAAACCCACCAAAGCGAACCTTTTCATGCTTTTTATGCATGTATACTGTACTAACAAATAAATGTCAGTGAAACACCTTGTTTGAACTCTGAAAAAGCAACGTAGGTCTATTGAGTCAACCTGTACACATGCATGCAAACGTGTATTCTCAAACTGCATTTTATGTGACTTCCTGAGTATGGCAATGCACATAAATAGTATTTCTACTTGGATAAAGTCAAGACTTTTTTCTCCTTCTGGTCTTTCTGCCTCCGACGTAAGAACAACAACAAAGCAATTAGAATATTGCCACACGAGGAAAGATGCGTTGATATTTTGATCAAACATGAAGTTCACAGACTTACATGCTTGTGAAGAAACTGCGCAGACTTTGAACTGGTTAAGTCCCAAAGTTGCGCCTGTACAATTTTCTATTGTCGAAAGTACCTTCCCGTAGATGACGAAATTGATTTTAAAAAAGACGCAAAAACGTCTGAAGATTTCCGCCGGTACATGTTCAGACTAGACCCGGGATTCTCACGTACGTAGGGCAGAAAGGTTACTTCTCTCCGTCAGAAAAAAATTATCTAAGGGACGAATCTCACATCGCACGTACTAAAATGTTTCCACATCTGCCAACCACACCCTGTAGGAGAAAACATCTACCCAGATGTTTAAAAAAATTGACATCAAAAACCTTTTTGACAAACAGCTACTGGGGTTATTTAACTGGAGCAGCGGAGTGCTGCAGAGCTCACCAAAGGTATGGCGGAATTTTGAAACGACATTGTCCCACTGAACAAGCACTATCAGGTATGTATTGTTGTGTACGTCTGTATGATTTCGACTTCAAGGTTCTTTGATATGACAAAAACCAAACCCAAATGAACAAACAACCAATATTTAATTGCTCGGGTTTTGTACCCATGTGAGTTGCATGAATTCTTGCTACTTGCCAAGAGACTGTATACACTCGAAGTCAACCTGTCATGTCAACTGTTTTTTCGTTTCACAGCGTTCTACTTTGTTCTAATGGATTATCAAATACTTATAACCTGCAGTCTTGCAGCTTTTCAAGGGTGAAACAAATGAAATATCTCGCTTCAAAAATACCCGTCAAATAAACAGATAATGGGCACGGAATGAGAAGTGTCAGCCAACCTCACACATCTTTTTGAGAGACACAACAATTTTAGATATTATGGATGCCTTTGCATGCCCGATCGATACTGATGGCCACCTTGAGATCTACGAAATAAACGGTGCAAAACAAGTTTTTTCGCATTTGAAATTTCGCAAGAGCAGTGTCATGTAGGTTTAGAGGGTTTCCCTCTCCAACCAGCAGTTCATATTTCCTGATCAAACCCAAATCTCACGGGAAACTCCAACTGCGCGAGTGACATAACACATTGTGTTTGGGCTACAGCAAATACCAAGCTCAACTACGTTTTCAAATGGCATGGATCAGACAAGGGGTTTCGACGAACAGGTTGCAGAACGCGACCCTTTCGAACTTTGATAAAGAGCCAGACAGCGTTAAAGGGGACACTGAGGGTTTTTTAAACACGGAAATAAAAACTGGATTCAGTATGTGTCACACAGGACCCATGGCTGTGATATAATACCTCTTCAGATTTATAACAACGTAATTGGTTTTTACAAAATAAATTTTTGAAGATGAAAATTACTGGACCTTACTAATGTATTGAGTTGTGACAGTATTTCGAGCATTTTGCGCTAAAAGTTCCCATTATAAATAATTGCTTTGCAGTATACATTCTTTGCAGATTTCGGTTAATTCACAAATAAAGTAAATGGAGCCACTTCCAAAAGTATTTTATTTGAAGTAATAACATTTTGAGAACGTTGATAAGAGTCTGTTTTTTCAACGCGCAACGTGCCTCCCAAACTAAGTTTAAAATCTCAGAGACCTCATTTAAAGGGATGTCTTGTCTTTAAGTTAAAAATAAAATCTACCGGTCCGACACCTTCTACCAGATGGACAGCTGTTTACTTTCCCCGGGACAATGAGGGCTAGCTCCCTCGGTTCCAATCTAAATCACACGGGACTTGGCAAAGTATTCCTAGCTCTTCATGGTTTTCACCCAACGTACATTTGATCCATGATTTCATCAGCTTTATTTTTGGAAATTTTTTTTGTTCAGCGATTCAAATCAACTGTGAAGTTTCCCATGGATGTAGCAAAACTTCTCCCAAACGACAGTTGATAAAATGACGTTGTCAAAATTGCGTGGATTTTACTTTTCCTCCTTTTCCTTTATTTGGCACACCAACAGTGCCTTTGTCTGATATTGGCCAGACAGATTACATCGGTCGTACGGCTCAAGGCTAAAAGCATTGTCCCACTAGAAGAAAGCCTCCTCAAAGGAGATTTAAAGAGCGTGTGCACAGTAATCTAAAAAAAAATCAACCCTTGAAATGTAACCCCTGTTTCTCATTTTTTTTTTTCAAAATTTGTGTTGCCATTTTACTGAGAGCTCTGGATCTTGAAGCCTTTGGGTTTTCACGCCACTGTTGTTGAGTTCATCACTGAACAAGTCTCTACATGTCCATCACAAGTCCATCATGAATCATTCAGTCGCAAGTTGCAAACTTATCAAATGAAAATCCATTCATATGATTGTTCACGCCGTCACTTATGACTGGACTTGTGAAAGGACTTGTGGTGGACTCAGAAACAATACTTGTTTCATGATGTATGCTGTATGAATGAGCAAAAGTGTGATGTCATGATTCTGAGCTGAAATTTCAATGTTGCAACGCTTTCAGCGCATAGCGTTAAAGCACAAACAGATCATCCAAAAAGAAGTTTGATTATTTTACTATTGTAATGTTCTGCTTCGTCGGTGATCCATTGATGTGTAAAGTACACGGCAAGGAGCCAACAACCCTTTGTCACAAATGGTTTCAGTGAGCGAGTTTTGAGTCCCTGACCTGAGAACTTGACCAGAAAACTCCTAAACTGAACGGAGTCTTTCCATGACATCACAGAGATAGAGTACCCTCGGTTGTTTTACATATAGGAGTAGAAAATGCACAACTTAAATTCAGTGCCTGGATCCTTTTAAAGAATGGTCAAGAATCCACGGCTGCGTCTGAGTTCTTGGCTTCGTAATGTGCCCGAGCCTCCAGACAGGGCGAGTTCAACAATCGCAAAAATAAATCGCGTTCATTGGACAAAACTCAATTGTGTGCCCAATAGATCACTTCATTTTCGAAGATTCCAGGGCAGGGGAAATGGGTTCGTCTTCAGAAGAATGGAGATTTAGAGGTTCATGAACACAACTGAAAGTTTTCAACAAAAAAAAAGCGACACGAACGTAGCCATAATAAACGAAAGTTGCTGCAAAGTATACACCTTTTTGTTCGGTATGGCACCCTGATAGAAGCATTCTTATTGGACAAAGGTGTGACGCACGTGACCTGAGGCTGAATTTGGAGGCGATCGTGAATTGTGTTACGGACCTGCATTCGTGCATAGTCTGTTTCAGACCTGACACGGGCCGACCCTTCCGTTCACTTATTTTGTCCTGCTCCGTGGTATCTCCCCGCTACAAGTCTCGAGCTCAAACTTGATCCACTGCAATTCACTACATACACTTTAAACATGGTAGCTCTGTTTTTTCAACTGATTGTGGTTTTATCCTTTCAGCTGATCTTTCCTCATGTTCATCTTGTGTATGCTGGTGTCCCTGCTGGCCAAGGATACCTGACAGTAGATAATGCTGGTGACCAGCCACACAAATCACCAGAACAGATCGACAATGTCAAATCAGTATCACCTACCACCGGTCTGATTGCCTCACGCCAAAGTCGGTCTCTTGCGGGCCGTCACGTTGAAGACCTCCCTGACGATGAGTCTCGAAGCCCCGTCCATCCTCAGAAGCCCAACGACTCTAATAAGAACAGGTCCGAGATGAGAAAAGATTTCAGCGAAGATGAAACTTTTAATCCACAACCGTCTGCAACCTCTGATCACTTTGGTAGTGGTAACTCATCCGAATCTTTGTCACCCACGCCGCATCCATCCTCCGTCGTCTCCTCATCGACAAGGGAAGACATTGAGCGGCGTGCTCGCCTGGAAATGCTGAAGCGCACATTTCTTGATCAACTTGGCCTGGTCAAACCGCCCATCGTGACCCGGCCCAAACCTGAAGTGCCTGCAGTCGTGCTCAATCGACTTATGCATGATGCTGAGCGGAACAATCAACGTCCCCACCGATTGACGAACTCACACCCCAGTCAGCTTGTGGTTTTTGCAGACAGGGGTAAGTTTCCCACACTCACTCATGAACCATTATAACTCCATGCCCACCAGTCTTCAAAAGAAGGTTCATGCTTTTGTCTTCCCGTTTGCGTGTGCGTGAATTTTCAGCTGCTGTTATTCCATATGATATTCTGATTATTTCATAGGATTTTTCAATTATGAAGAAGTGCACCTGATTTGAGGAAATAAGCCATGCATTCGATTTGCTTTAAGGGTAATTTACGTGTTAGAAACACGTTTTCATGAAAAGCAGCAAATTCCGTTGATTTTCGTTCGAATTAGCAGCAGAACGTTTCAAATGTTTGTTCAGGAATTCGGATTGGTTCTTGTGCATATAAATGTAGAAACCGAACAGTTATTAGAAGCATTAAGTTTGAATTCATTTGAAGGCTGAAATCACTGTGTGCCAATCTGCAATAGCTACTGCAGGACTATCAAATCGAAAAGCATAAATCAAATACAAAAAATTAACATTGTTTCGGCTGGACGGGAAAACGAATTAGAACAAAAACTCGACCAAAATCAATGTTAGTACTACAATTAGAACAATCACATAAGAGGAAAATGACCAGTGAATGAAACATTAACTGAAGCACATTCCAAACGTTGACATGATTTGAAGACAAACTTATGCAACGAGGATTATAGACAGTGTAAAGTGTTTTTGTTTTGTCCTGTTTGTCATTTGTCTGTCCTGGTATGTTAGATTGCTGAGTTTTCTTTGTCTCTCCATAGGTTGGGGTACAAAAGCGTTTTTGCTTAACCTTAAACCTAAATGTCGTCGTCTAATTTATCAAATGTAAAATGATACATTATGTAATGTCGCTCAAGTTAATGGCCATGCACTCAGTACTCAAGTAATGTGAATCATGTTTGCTTATTGTAAAGAATGACAGCATTGAAATAAATGTTTCATTCAATAAAAATTCAGACTTTATTGCAATATTCTCCAATTCACAGAAGCAGCCTGGCGACCTGCCAAGTTTAATTCCTTTCCCGTTAAGGTTAAAAAGCAGCTGCCAAGCTTTAAAGTTGGCTGCCAAGCTTAACATTATTTTGAGGGCCATATCGTTTGCCATATTTCACGAGTGATGATACGATACCTTGACCAAAAATAAAGTTTCCCCGAATGTCTTAATTATCATGCTTGTGCGGTCTGGTTGCGTATAAACGATATCAGTTAGCACACACAACATTGTACATGTCGTTTAGGTCATTACATTCCAACAATCACATTGCATGACATGTGAAGAACATGTGAAATAATATAACATGTAAAGCTAGTCTTTAGTGCAGTCGGTGTGATATGAAACCTAGACAGTCCCAATAACGATAAACACTACGTTCACATCGTCCTCTACACACTGCCATGTCATGTGCAATACGTTCTGAACATGATCTAAAATCATGTACAGATATACGCATGCAGCAACCGGTAGAACAACATTTGCTTTCACGAATGTGTTGCGCTGTCCATGTGGACGATAAATTATGACAGATTGGAAAATCCAAACCGAAATCCAAGCTGTACTCTGTTTTAGCCATTTACATGAATGATTAGTGAAGGTTGTATTCTGACCAATCACAGCCGTGATTTTATGTCCAACATGCATGCACAAAAGCCCGACATGCGTGCACGCGCGTATGATGGTGCGCACGGCTGGTGCATGTAGTGTGGCATTGGAGAAGAGTACGTGCTGAGTGCCCACGTGCACAATGAGCGGGGCTTACTGGATCGCAGGTACAGGTAGTTGTTTTTGACACTTTGGGATCTATTAAGTATATTCCTGAAGGCCTAATCAGAAGATGTGAAAAATTCGACATCACGTCAAAAACTATTTAGAGTGACCCACAGGTCAGAGAAGAATGTTGCATGTTTCAGGTTTCCGTAGCCTACACTCTAAAAAGGCGCTTAGGTCGAATTCGGGCGCCGTGTTCTTGACACGGGTTTCTTGTTCTCGCACTCGAACGGCGGGAACACGACTCAAGAACACTGTTCTCGGAACAGGATCACACACCACCTCCTTGTCAGGGTTTTACAGGAACACACGGAAAAACTTGTGAGATTTTGATTTTTGAACAGCTGGAAAAAATAGAGAATTTTTTTTGAAAAGTTGGAGACAAAAGGAAGTTTTGCCATATTAACATTATTTATTTTTCACAACACAGAAGTGAATGTTCCCGTTTATATAGAAAAGCATGCAGCCCAGTTGTTTAAGCTTTAACTCTCGAATAATTTACTACAACATGGACGCCGCCATGTTGCTTGTCACTTACCACAACCGATGACCAATTGTACGTTCCCGGCGTTCGAGCGGCCGACCCAAGAACGACAAATCAAGCTGTTCGTGAACATACGAGAACACGCCGCCCGAATTCAGCCTTTGAGTTTAAATACACTTCTGAACACTTTCCCTTTCGCGCTCTCCGAGACAGAATACACACACCGCGGAGAATTGACGCTGTTTTCATGTAGGGCACCGCATGGTAAATCGAATGCTATTGAAAGCATGGTCAGGCACCAGACTATTCCTCATTAACATACGCATCCAAGAATTTTGGACATGTAAATGATCTAATTCCAGGGTGAGAGAAGGTAGCCACGGGGCCACAATGCTCCATACTATAGGAACGAGGTTGTTTAATGGCAAAAAAAAAACAATTCTTAAGCCCAGATAATGGGCTAAAGGCTGTTCCTGCAGTTGTCCGACACAAAGTGACATGGAATTCAATCAAATTGCATAGACAAAAATATCAAATCCACTGGGAAAACCTGTAAAATGACACGGAAGGACGTATTGCTGGTGGTTGCCTGTTCTCAGTTGTGTAAGCTTGGTAATTAATGTTTTTAAAATATCAGATATTAATAAAAGGAGGAAGGGGACGGTGGCGTGTCTAGGTTTTGAGTCCGGGGCACTATTGTTCCTGAATCGATAGCCCATTTTTCCAGCCATAGGAGAACGAATTTACCCTTCCCCATCAAAAGAAGGTGACAACATGGGCGGAGATCCCAAGGGTGGGGGATATACCCCCCCCCCTTTTTTGACTTGGGAATTACAAATAGAATACCTCCCCCCCCACACACACACTTTTCAAGTCACTGACGTTATGCGCACCCGTAGCCTTCCCGTATTGAAGTGGCACCTTGGACAATGTGCCGTGTAACGCTCCGTACAAGCATAGAGCTATACTTGGAGGAACACAAAGATGACCTTTTGACCTTTCAGAAATCATTCCTCCCACATGAGTAGTACCCAGGGTCTAACCAGGATATTTTGCGGCCTCTCGAACAATCAGAAGGCCAGATTTGGCCCCGCGTCACCCTCATTAGCTTAAAATGAGGAATGGGAATATTCCATTTTCCGCGGGGGTGTAGGTAATTTAAGGAGGGGCTTTGGTGGCATTTTGAAAATACAGGAAGGTTCCATTTTAAGTAGGGTTTTGAATTTGATACAAGCTTACGTAGCTAACGTATTAGCTAATACATTTTTCTCTAGAGTAAGATTTTCTTTACGCGTGTATGTACTTACTCACAGGAGTGTACCATTGTAAGAAGGGTTTCGGAGTTGAGTTCTCATTATGTACTGATGACGTATGCGTAAGATTTCCTTCACGCGTGCATGTAATTACGTGTGTATGTAAGCCTACGGTACGGTACCATATGCAAGTGGCCCATATAAAGTAAGAACATTTGTACATACAGTAGATACATACAGCATGTATACACCTATTAAATGGAATACCACAAAAATCAATAAGAGTACATTTTAAAAATTGAACCAGTAAATACCTAAAAGACCTACCCATTTCCAAACACAAGTGGCCTTGCCTCATGATAGTATATGTACATGTACATCGGTATGACTATCAAATAATAATTCTCAGGTCGGATATTGGCCGGAACTTTTGCACAATATTCCACAGCACGACGAATAAATTTACCTCTTTGCTACGTGTTAAAAATCCCCAACTAACGTTATGCCACCCTCAAGAATTCTTTATTTTATACGATGCTGTATTTTACATTTAGGTTCCACAATAAAGAACAACAGCAATGCTCCGCTCTGACTGAATTTGTAAAACGTGCACATGTACAGGTGGATAAAACCAAAATAGGATACGTTAGCACTTACCGTTTGTGACAGCCGATCCTGGTGAATCCTCACTTCCTCCAACTACTCCTTCCTCCATGCTATGACACGAATCTGCTACTGGCATGTAGTAACGAACCTTTGCGTGCCCTTCATCCGCTCGCAATGAAGATAACGTTGGGCAAACGTTTAAATTCACCGCGAATTTTGGACGGTCCAATCATGTAACTAAACAGGATCGGACTTGTCGGGTTCCATTTTGTCGTCCATTGATGACTCAGCGTTGTGACGTCACGGGATCCCAATACAAAGACAAGTTTGCCTGTGCAACCACGCACGTACAGTTCATGTACATATACTATCACGAGGCAAGGCCACTTGTAGTTGGAAATGGGTAGGTCTTTTAGGTATTTACTGGTTCAATTTTTAAAATGTACTTTTGTTGATTTTTGTGGTATTCCATTAAAGAGGTGTTTACATACTGTATGTATGTACTACTTGCATATGGTACCGTACCGTAGGCCTACATACACACGTAACTACATGCACGCGTGAAGGAAATCTTACGCATACGTCATCAGTACATAATGAGAACTCAACTCCTAAACCCTTCTTACAATGGTGCACTCCTGTGAGTAAGTACATGTACATACACGCGTAAAGAAAATCTTACACTAGAGAATAATGTATTCTGCGTTTAATTGCTACGTACTAGAGAACTTGTATCAAATTCAAAACCCTACCTAAAATGGTACGTTTCTGTAATTTTAAATGCCACCACAGGCACTCCTAAAATTACCTACACCCCGCGGAAAATGGAATATTTCCATTCCTCATTTTATACCTTCTGATTGGTCGAGAGGCCGCAAACAATTTGCAAATTATCCTGGTTAGACCCTGGGCACTACTCACATGTGACAAGAAACCTCCGCCTATGTTTAACAGTTCCGCTGACGCTTGGATTCACCGCTGGGTAGGGAGTGCCCTACGTACAATTTGCTGAGGATGGGGATATTTTACAATACATGTAGTTATTTTCCTCAAACTAAGATGCTAAACGTTATTGTCTTATATAGATACGTCATTGTGATTGTGGAGTAGTTTCCTCAAACAGAAGAATTTCTATTCATGGATAGAGCAACGTGGGTTTGTACTGTTTGACGGGTTAACTTTACTGCTTTTATCTGCAATATATACTGCAATCACATCACGAAATCGCATCTCTTAAATGAATTTGGTTTTAGTTTTGTTTCAAGCAAACGTGCGTTTTCCTTCTCCTTGGTTTGGTTGTATTCGGCATTTTTTCAACAAGAAAAATTAACCAGTCTTGAAAATGTATGTTTCCATGGTATCTGGCTTAAATGGGGCTATAAATTACGTGAAATTTTCACTATTTCAATTGAGTTTCAATTTCTCCCTCATTTTGCGTGATTGGCCTCCCCCCCGTCTGCAAAATAATTATTCTAGAATGATCTATTGTTTCTCACACCAGTGCCAAAATATTTCATTCATAAATACCTTAGTATGGAATTCCATATCTGCCGTCGCAGATGTGTGCCATGGTGGATAGGCCAGTGAGCACAGGTGGTCCAGCATATGAGCACTATTTATGGGGCGAACAAAGAAACATTACTGTATAAAAGACTTATGTGTGCCTATGTGCAACTCACGTCATGTCTAAAGCAGATTTCACGGTAGGAATACCCACCGTCAAAACAGTGTTCAATCAGTTCGTCTCTTATAAAGGTTATTAAGGAATCAAACATTGTAAGTAATTTATTTTATACATTCAGTTCAAAGTTACTCTTGTATTTCCGGTGTATGATATGTTGGGATATCGTGGAAGGACAGACAGGCATGGCGGATCAATCAAACAAGTATGTGAAAAGATCAAGGGTCAAAGTAAAAAATAGCACTGCGAAAGCGTGACAAACAAAGCGACGGGCGACGCGCGACGCACGGGCGACGCACAACAGGCGATGCACGACACGACGGACGAAGCACGACGGGCGACGCACGACGGCAGATACAGTCTCCCTATTCAACAACGTGCAATTTGACTGTGTATTAACACTATTTTGCCCGCTGAGAAGTGAAATGCCCACGGCGTAATTCACGAGCTAGCACCTGGATACGAGACAGTTTAATCGATTCTGATTGGTCAAGAGTCTGTGTGCACGCGGCTCTGAACGGTATTTAGCCGGCTAAAGTAGGCAGCGCCCTCTTTGATGCATCTATACCATTAAGCCTATATAGGTTATTAAATCTCCACGAAATTCCAAGTAGTTGGATATGGATCAAAGATGTTTTGAAAGAAATATGTGCCCAGGGAATGCCACGGAAAGAGCCGAGCCGTAGAACAACAGTGTGCTCACCAAACCTCACACTTGTGCACCTTTGAACGGCGAACGTTTTTTATGGTATGCCGAATCGTCGAGTAAAATACCTGGTTCTTTTCAGAATCACACAACTCCAAAGAGGTTTAACTTCCAGTTTTAACTTAAGTGGTGTTACAGCAAACATTCTATACTTTGTGTATGTCAATGATGCAAACCTAAAAGTCTCATTCACTGGTCACGTTCAGTCTTTTTCATGCGAGGACATCCGTCCTAGCTCCTCTCCCACCTACTAAGGTCCATCAGGGAACAAAGATTAATGAAACTTTTGGTGCTTGCTTTCATCTGCAGATGAGGTTGACTGTGGTCCTGATGTAGCTGAGGGTACCTGTTTCAGGTTCAGCGTTCCTGAGCAAACGGACAATTCAGTAGTTTTCTCTAGCCACTTGTGGGTCTACATTACTCACGCCCCCGGTGGTGCATCTGTCTTCGTTGGTCGACCCCAGCATCACTATGACAGCAGGAGACGAGTCCTCGCCTCCAGGAAATTGTACTCGCGGGAGGGGTGGGTGGAGCTGGAGATTCCCGTCGATAAGCACAAATGGAACCGACATTACCACTACTTTGAGATCAGTACCAAACCCCTGCAGGCCGGTGGTAATCGTACCGTAGCCATGGAGACGCAACATCGCCCGATGCTGCTGCTGGCCATGGCGAAGGCTGACAGGTCCGGCCGGGTTCCCCGGAGCGTCGGACAGTGCACGACCGGCCAAACCAGTTGCTGTATGAGAGACTTCCTGGTGAACTTTACAGTGATTGGTTGGGATTCCTGGATCGTTCAGCCACTTACCTTCGATGCTCACTACTGCGCAGGGGAGTGTAGCGTTTCTTCTCGTCACTTCCTCAAAGATCACACAGAAATAATCGCTCTCCTCCTGCAGCACCAAGAAGCAGCGAGCGACATGAAGCTGTGCTGTGTAGCAAACGATGTCAGCGACCTTTCTGTGATATACCTAGGCAATGATAACGCAGTGCGTCAGAGGTATATTGACGTTGTAGTGGAAAACTGTGGCTGTCTTTAGCAGCCGTATTCTCTGCAAAAATAGTGTCCTTTTTGTCGGTAGTTGCTTCTTCAAAAGACAAAAGGAAGGGGTTGGAGCACACAACCCTCGATAAACGAAACGGGGCACCGCCTAAAAGTATATAATAAGGAGTATAAAAACAGCTGTCATCTGTTTTTGTAGTTGGTCTTTACTCCTTGAAACCTCAAACTTGACGTATCTTATTTTTTACTTCTTATAGGAGTTATCATTGACCTACAAATAAAAAATTTCTAGGGGATGTGTCTAAATCAGAATTGCCTTAAAAACACTGTCATTTTCCATTTTTAGTGAGCCATTTTGTTTATTTACTGCTGAGGTCTGTTTCTAATACTTACACAAAGCATGGTCTTCGCCACAATACTTCCCGGTGGGGCAGAGCGCTCAAATAGTTAACTGACATACAACGGTGGAAAGGAGTCAATGCCGAGGTATTTTTCCATCGGTTTCCCTCTTTGTTTCTTTCCATTTTTCTTTTATTTCTTTTTAGTTTTGAATTTGTTTCCTCTAAGGGGCAGCGCCCCTTGCTCTAGCTCTCGATGCTCCTGACACTAAGAGAGAGCTCTAAGGTTCACGTTTGGGGTTATGATCGGATTTATAAATAGTGTTTAGCTCCATTTAAATACAATTTAACTTGACACTTTGAAATGTACTCAGATAACTGATATGCTGATATTTTCTTCGCTGATTGTTAACACGATAGCTGGCAAGAGATTTGTGAAATGAATGGATGACAGCAACACTGTTGTGCCCTTCTGATCTGTTTGGCTTGGAATAATTTAGAAACGCCACAAAGACAGACTCCATCTGTTCCCAATCCCAACTATGAAATTATTATGTATTTTGCATTGAAGAAAAGCCATTTGCGTAAACACTACAAACAAAACATTACATTTAGTAACGAAATAAGCATACAAATACAAGTGACAAGAAGATATTTTTTCATGCTTTTGTTATTTACTAGATAGCTTCATAATACTAGCACCTAATAAATGTAACTCTGGTAGTACATATAAATTGACCTTATTTCCTGCATACATTTTGTTCATCTTTTTGACCACAATATACCAACACTATCTTCAGTCACTCACCTGATAAAGAGAAGCTTTAACGTATAGAGTATCGAGGAAATTCTCACTCTGCGACACGCTGGCCATATGTTTTTTTCACAGAGCATACTTCAGGAGTCGTCTACAGCTTCACAGTCATGTGAATTAGCGCCATCATCGACCGAAATAGAAATGGGCGATTCACAATTATACCTTTTTACTTATAAATTCACAAATAAATTCATTCGTTTTGGCTATGAAACAGGAGACTGGCAATACGGCAATCTTGTGTGCACAAGAAAAATCACGATTTAAGGTCTTTTACAGAACACTAAAAATCCCGCTTAGATTGGAAACTAATAGCAAAACGATTTAATCGGATTTTCTGAAGAAAAAAACGAACTTAAGACAAAAACCGGAGAGAAAATGATTAATTAAAATCGCACTCCTGTAGGGCTTCGTTTTCGCTTACGCTCCCAGGCCATTTGTGCGCATGCGTGTATAATTATGAATTTATCAGTGAAAAGGATATATGCCTCCTAAGAGTTTGCATGCTTGACCAATCACAAGGCACGAAATCTGTCGACCTCATTGATCTCCATTATAATGGAGATAAACAAGTTACATTCACTGTGATTGGTCAACGTGTTGCAAACTCTTGGAGGTGCACTATCGTGAAACGCCCGTATTGCATGGCGAGGCAGATTCCATAACGTATTGCTACTGATAAAGTAGCTAATCTAAACAAGTTACATTCATTTTTTTATAAAGATCATCTGCCCTTAATTGACAACTGTCCAGCGTGATCTAAATACCGGCCTATTCTAACCCAGAGCGTCCCTTTAATAATTGGTGTTTGTATGTTCCGTTCTGGCCTATTTGAGCCACCGTTTTATTAATACATGTTCCCTTTTATGGTTGTCTTGGGCCACGACTACTGATGTATCTGAAGAGATGGTCCCGATGAGGCGACATTCAAAATAGAAAGTTGTTTCCTTTCTTTTCCTCACAAAAGCGTATAAACAAACGACACAGGAAAATATAGGCCTACCGAAGTTTAAGTAGACTCGGAAATCCTCAGACTCGTTAAATTGTTGCCCCCTCCCAGGTTCTACAACTGCCTGGCATCTCGCAGTTACAAATGCAATGTGAAAACATAAAGTCGGTACCTGTACATGAAACTCCTCCCTGGTTTTTACCAGCCCATTCAAACCCTGAACAAGTCACTTCCAGTTGTATTGTTATTGTTATAATCTGCTGCAGATAGCACTTGTAAGTTGACCCCTGATGGCGTACTTCCGGAACCCTTGGATAGGAAAAATAACGTGCAAAAATTTTAGAATTTGTAATATTTTTTCGTTCAGTAAACTAAAGCCGTATACAGGCATTTTGTAAAATATTTGATAGCATATTACTTTACAGAAACTGCAAAATTACTTGACCCCTCCGAAAGAAATATATTGCCAAAATCAACCTATCACTTCAGAAAATCTAAAATGCATGAACAGTCCAATGCGGTGGTCTCGTATGCAGATCAACAGTTACGGATTTATACTTAAGAGTCTTTCGGTAAAAAGCCAAAATAACAGCAGACCAAAATATTTTAAGGATTTTGTAATTTACACGTATGAGGAAATAAACTTAAAACAATAACCTGCCCCAACGACAGATTCTAAGGTTTAATCTATCCTTCGCTGGCAAGAACTGCGTCAGGTTAACTCGATTGAATCTAGAACCCATCTACTCCTGGGAGGCAAATCTTTGCGAGGTTATACAGTCTCGTTTTAACGAAAGCACGGGGAATGAAAACAAACATGCATGAACAAGGAGACCTGGGAACGATATTGCAAGAAGTGAAAGGCCGTTGATAAAATTCGTTTTTATCCATCTCCAGGTGAATTTTTAAACGTATTACTCGAGGAAGACAAAGGGAAAATTCCGACAGTTTATCGAACGTGATAGGACGACCCCACGTAAAATCCCCGTAGGCTGACAGGGTTCCGGAAGCCTGCTGCATGACCTTTCACTTTCAGGCTCTGTTGTGAAGGGAACTAATGACGTGTTCTTTATTGTCAACAGAAGTTGACAGACGGCAATATTTATAATCACAGTCTAAGGATTCTGTGTACAGTGACGTTGTTAAGCTTAAGTTGGTAGCAAATATAAGTGCTAATCACTAAAGCAATGTGTCTCTCGTCGAGCTTGAAGTCGGAGGGAATGATTTCTGGTTTATCAATTTATGCAGGTGTTTGCACATTTTTACCAGTATATGTGAAATGTTAAGTTCCATTTCGATGTCAAAACACCCAAACACTGGTCACGAGCAGTCGAGTTTAGTCAAGGATTTCGTTGTTTTTTCTGGGGTATTGTCCGAGGAGGGTGGGCAGACGAGGGAAGGATAGAACATGGCGGAATCATAAGATGGAAGAGACGAATTTCTCGAGAGGATGTGAACCTCGCTTGGCAAAGGCTCTTCCGTGTCTGAGGAAGCCGACGATTGACCTTGGCTAATGGTCCCCCCGGCGGTTTCTGTCGAAGCCAAGCACGCCCTCCCCAGATGACTCTGTGCTAGTTCGTCTGACATGAAAGACAACAGATCGTCCGTCTCGTAGGTTGCCGATGCAAAACTGTCTCTGTGACAGTGAAATGTGATTGTCCCATCGGCGTCCGATAAAGCGCCAATGTCCATTTCAGCGATGTTACAATTTAGGGTATGGGCTGCCTCTGGGGATGGCTCGATTCCAGTTGTACCACCTTGCGTTGATGTTCCAGACACCATATTAATGCGTGTTTCGTTTGGAGGGGTAGTCTTCGACTGTTTGACACCACTTGGGTGATTGAGGGCAGCATCAGAATGTTGCTCGGGAGTTGGACGTCCTCGGAAAATCAGTTTGTCCATTTCTGTTTCATCGGTGTCATCTGGAAAATCATCCAAATGGCGCCAAGAGTTTTTCTCCCTCCCGCCTCGTGGTCGTTTTCGGTCTTCAATGCATTCATCCATCGTTCTTAGGTATTCTAGCTGGTCAGATGAATGAAGGAACGGCATACTTGAACTGGAAAGAGGTGCCCTGCAAGATGGAGAAGAAACGTTAACCTCTCTGGTTATATGGTAGACAAACGAGAACACAGATCTTATTAGATTCACTACGAGATAAACCTAAAAACCCACAACCAAAAATGTTGACATCTTCCACAGTTTGAGAAAAACACATGGAGTGCACCAAAATTTAAAATAGCTCCATACGTCGACTGCTTCGATCTAATATTAGCACGATGTGCAACTTTGAAAGGAAGTCTAATATTTATTTTAGCGCCTTTTGAGCATCATGTATTCATATTTCCTACCGTCTGGCTATGCCAGCTTGTACGGCTTGTCTGATATCTCGCCTTGCTTCGATTTCCTCAGGAGCAGCCTAAAAACCAAAGTGAAAATGAACAAAGGAATTAGCTTGATTTCACAACAACGGTGTTTTCCAAAACAAACTATAAGCTTTCTCATGTTAACATTTTTTTCAGTGACTTCAGTCACTGTTCTATTCTGCTATAAAAAGGACTCACTATGCTGATCAGCTCTATATTATAAATTGCATTCTGTGACATCTTAAGTTGTAACATAGTCTGGGTGTCTGAAATGAAATTACGGGTTGAAAATATTTGTGTCGGAAATCTAATTCTCAAATAACTTCAGTCAGCAGAAAGGAGCATCAAAGATTTCAAAACTATTGGGGATTCCCTCGGATCCCGTAACAAGGAAAGGCAATTGACAGTTAAGGCATCCGAGTTAATTTGTTGGTGTATCCGCTTGGCACAATACGTACACTGGTATACGTACAAGGTTGCATTTTCTTTAAATTTAATCCCGCCATAACTCCCACGTCCGTACTTGATGATGCACGCAGCAACGTAGTAACTTTGGTGGTGCTAATTTCTTCAAAAACCAAATTTATTTACCTTAACTTAACTCAAAGGTATTGCTATCCGAACAAACGATACACCAAGCGTTGTGCAAGTAAGAATATTTGGTTTTAGAAATACATTTTGGTACTAATGTGCTGCGAACGAAATAGAACCGGTTCCGTACCAAGTTACGCCCACAGATCGTCTTCTTAGGGCTTTTCCTTATTACGTATAACAAGACAGCTTCAAGTGATGACGTCATCAGCTAAACAGAGACGGATACGTATACGCACGTGCACTTTCTGTTTGCAGCTTCAGAAGTCGAACTTCTGCAGAGTCGAATTCAATAAACTGAAATCGCCATAAAAGCGACAGGAGTTTGGCAGTTGCTTCAAACGTCGATTTTCAGTTGAACGGATGTGATCTTTCAAGATGGCGCATCATAGGAGAGGAGACATATTATAATGATATAGTGCGACAGTTTCTTTCTGCGATAAATTTTGTTGCAGGGGATATTAAAAGAGAAAATCTCACAAACCCAACATTACTGTTGTCAAAAAATGCAGGTTGCTACCATAATATGCTGATTACAAATTCGGAGAAATGATTCAAAATAGCAACAATTTCCCCCTCGCATTAGACACGATTTAGAACGAAACGCAGGTACCGAAATCCCCATATCTCTAAGGTATAGGCTTGGGATATGTCTCTGAAAACTCTCCAAAAGAGATTATAATTATACGATTACAAAAAACGATCAATTGTTGATAAAGTTTGCCTGAAATGTAGCCTATGAATCCTGCATCATGTTTGGGGCATGTCAGCGAAAAAGATTTTTTAAAACTGAAGATGAAAATATTAGACATGGTGGAACTCTAGTTGTTTCAATTCTGTCTGCTCATCAATGTCATCCTTAGACAGACGACCATCGCCACTTCACGATATGTCCATGGCCGGGGGCACCATTTGGTTTTAACACCGAAACAAAAAACATGCATGCGCATTGTCAACGGATACCACTATGATGTGCACAGTGCCTCGTTAAATGTCATCATTTGGAGATATTTTGTGCAAACATGTGATCTAAGGTATTCAATCTATTTGTTTGTTTATTGGGGATGTTTGGTTGTTTGTTTAAAGTTTTTTTTTATTGTTGTTCGCCTTTTGTTCTCTGTCTTCTCGTCTAAAAACTCTTTCTGACCTGAAATAAGAATTCAGACGCACTAAGAATAGTAAACAATCTTACCGGTCTCTGTTCCTTCTGTAACATCTTGCCAAATTCTCCCTGCCTAACCAAGGTAAGAAGGTCCCGGATGTTTGCGGAAGACCTAACCTTGAAGTCGGAGTTAATCTCATGATGAAGTCTCTGTAGAAAGTCATTCGGACAAGTGAGAAAACCGGTTTAAAAATGCGGGGCGAGTCGAAGTACAAAATGGCCTACAAAATAGCGATTGCTATAGCTACATCACGAGGATGAAGATGCATTGACTGGTTACTTTTTGCGTAATTTTCACTCCTAAGAAGCTCTCACCTGACTGAGCACAAGACAATCACGTCGGTGCTTTGGTAGTTTACGTAGATATGGAACCAACCATTTATGTGCGGCTATTTCGACAAGCAATATCAGACAGGCTATAATTGTACCAGCAACGAGTAGTAGTAATAATCCTGCAAAGACAAAATAGCGGGAAAATACAGGTTACCAATACTGAGCACACGCTGGTGGTGAGTCAGAAAATGCAACACCAGCATTGTACCAAGTGTGGGAAACGCACGAATGTAGGCCCACGTGGCCAATTCAAAGACAGGTGAAGACAACAGAGTTTAAACATGATCTGGGACATTGCGTATTTATTCTCATGGACTTGTGCAGAAACCGTTATCGATCTGTAACTTTTACCTACAAGAAAACCTAATCGAGTAAACCTTCAAAACTATGTTTAAACTTCCTAATGTTTCAACAAAACACATTACTTTAACATAAATAAACAACGTCTCTCTAATGTTGAAAGTCATCCTGAGCCAAAAGCAACTACATGTTCTCTATCAAATCCGACAAACAGTATGCATGATGCAGTATAATTTGTTTCCTCGAATTTTGAGAAAATTAACGTTAAGGTATCGCTCTACTCACAGACATAGACACGGTATTCCCTGATTAAGTGGTGATACACATAGGTAAGGCCAAGTGAAATCTTTTACAATGTACTGGCCACGGAAAATTTTGCGGTATATTAAGTGTTATGAAAGAATTTGGTGACCGGTTCGTCTCTTCTTTCAATGATTTTTTTCGCCTACTGCCTTTATAGTTTTACGCATCCCCCGCCCCCATTGAGCACGATTTGTCAACCTCCACGGAATTTGGAAAAATTACATCAAAAAGGTAGATCGCAACTAAAAACACACCCATGCACATGCACTGTGGACATCGCTAGACCATAGGGGGGGTAATCACGAAAATGACAGACTGACCGTTAGCAAACTTCAGGAGTTGATGCTACTTGATGAGAAAGCGAACACATACGCGCATTTGAGACGTCAGATCAAAATTTGATCAGACTTCACAAATTCACTTTTGTGTATATTTAATATTCTGGCTGCGGATTCGCAAAATATGAACACATTTCGACTCGAGGGAAATTATGCTGCAAATCTGCCGTGACGTCAAATTCACTTCGCTTTCACATTCCCTGTTGTATGAACGGACCTCAATAGCAGTCTTCATGCCGACAGCACCATGCTTTTCCCCACGAAACTGACTAAGCGACGCCCATGTACAAAAAGCATATACAGCCAGTGTACAAAATAATGGATATTTATGAATGCAAGGTAAGGATAATTTTGTGAGATGTCAGATGGAATGTTTGATTCCACTCGCCGAGTGCAATGCCACCCCATGAAATTGTTCTTAACATTGCACAAATGTGAAATATTCACTTCATGTTTGATACAATACCTGAACAAATCCTCTTCCGTTAGGAGATTAAATAGGTCACGCAAGCGTATTAACGTCCTTCATTTTGCGAAACAGCTTCGTGTCCGAAGCCCCACCCACTGGTACAAGGTAGTACCGTGCCATGTTAGGCTGGTTTCTGTCCCGACATTATTTTCCTCTTTCTTACTGGGAATGAGATATATAAAAGGGGGGCGGGAACCAGCAAAGTGAAATAAAGTTCTATTCAACATTTGGTCATCGATCGACATGTGATCACCAATCCATCAATCAGGATTTATGCAGAGACCGTATAATAACTAAACATGTAAAACTGTAACATGACGCGTTAATCAGAGTATGCCGAGTCTCACCGAGTATCCGGTCTAATAAGCACTTATGTGAAAGCACTAATCGTGTTTATTACATGCTGGTTGAACGACCAACAATTCATTATAAGGCAGGTTTAAGTGTCAGAGAATCAACAGCGGATCATCACGATCCTATGGAGGCGTAGGACATGAATAAAACAGTTTAACCCACTATTTCGCCCGGGCGGATTACTATTCGCCTGAGTGGATTACTATTTTGACTGGGTGGATTAATTGCAAAATTGTGGAGCACATAGGTATAATCCACTTGGGCAGAGGAGTCACCACCCAGGCGACAATATAATTTGCCCGGGTGAAATAATAACTTGCCCAATCGTAATATGCCCGGGCGAATTAGAAAAGCCAAAATATTTTTATTCATGTCCTAAATACGCTTCCTTACGACCTGGATCGTAAGGAGGCCCACAGAAAGTCTGAATTCGCAATACCCTCGTTGCATCGAACAATTTGGTTAGAGACCAAGCCTTTGTATTACCTTTGTACTGGGTGCAGCGCGGTAAGATGGCCACCGGCGGCTTCAATGTCCAATGTACGTTGAAAAAGGACATCGCGACTCTGACTTGTTATATTACGAAAGCCCTTTTGTGGCATCGAGTGTGTATTTCCAAAAAGTGAAGTACTATTGCAGTGTGTTGTTACAAAGTTTATTTTTTCAACTTCGATTTTACGAGATGTATTCTTCCAAAGTTTGTTTGTTCGAGATATATTTCTCCAGATCGTTCTGAGATCTATATTTAGATATATTGTTCTATCTTTGGAAACAAATGGTTGTTACAACAAAATATATGTTTCTAAGTTCGTTTTTGTGAGATACATTTTTTGAAGTTCGTTTTTACGAGGCAAAAAATCAAATTTGAAAATACATATTTCTTGAAAATTAACGAGGAAAATGTATCTCTTGAAAAAAGACAAAACAATGCCTCATAAAAACAATTTGTTTCTAAAAATAGATCTCACAAGAACGAACTGCAGAATACATATATCTCGCACAAAAAAATTTTAAAAAAATATGCTCATAAAAACGAAGTTAAAAATACTTTATAAAGACGAACGTCGAAAAAATCTTCACTTTTTGAAGGTATTATATTGTTTTGATGGCACTCCAGGGCTTTTGTATTAATATATGAGTTCCGTGATAGAATTCAACACATCCGAAGGATTTGATACTCAATGGCGAAACATGATATATTACAGAATCAAATTACCGTTTGTAATCGATTAGATTACCGTTCGCAGAGACGTGTAGGCCCAAACAATATTTCTCCTTGAGGGGAATAAGGGGGGGGGATAAAACAAGGTCTTGTCTAACCAAGACTTGTCCCAGTATAGAGGCTACAGGCCCATTCTGTTCTTTCTGTATTACGCCTATATACTGACCGCCAACGTGTGCTATAGTGACCGTGTTATCCTCGCCTCCAGAGGTAGGGTCAAGTATGTCTTCCTTCATGCAGCCTGTGGATTCGAACCATTTTCGCTGGAGCTCCTCCAGGATTCCATCTAACTCGTATTCAAGAATCTTCCCCGAGACTGTGTCTCTTAACGGTGATTCTGTGTCAAAGCAAGATGACAGGACTAATTAAGACGAATCAATGTTGGTTTAGGCTACGGTTAATGCATACGCAATCATATGTTTTGAGGGTTGGGTAAGCTGCCGGAGGCTGGGCGAGTTGTGATTTGAATGGTCTCATCAAATTTATGCTGGGTGTCGTAGGAATACAAAAAGAGAGAAAAGGAGAAGGTAACCAACTATAAAACAATATAAAAACAAAAAACCCTTCCACGGCTCTATCTATGTCTAGCTTTACACAGCATCCCTATTGGTCATTTGCAGTCCAGCCCCACCACCGTTGACTTTTTCCACGGCCGGTTAGTGTCTTGCCCCCTCTAGAGAAATCCAAGAGACTTCCACAGCATTTATTGCTAACATGGTATAGGAAAAAAATTAGGTTTGACCCCTCTGTGAATAGTTAACTTACATAACAGCAGTGGTCCAGGAACTACCTGTACTAGGCTTATCTATCGCTGATAAAAGCCGAGTTTTATACCAAGGGAATCCAATTTAAGCCATCCATTTTCCTTAAATAAAATCGGAAGAATAGTGTCCTTGAATAGTTTGGTAACTGAGTTTTATTAACACTTTTAGCTTTCTAAGGTTATTGATTTAAGTGAAAGTCGAAAATCAAATCTTACATGAACGTCTTACGGGCCTTTTTCTAAAAATGCGGTAAGATAACAACTTCGCGATGTTTTCCCACATTCACAGTTTTTGAATGATTCTGTAATCAATTTTTTTTCTTTTATTCATTTTCGTTTAAATTACAACATCTCACACATATACCTGTAGAAGGGTAACTACTCTCCAAGTTACAGGGCATTTGCAACGGAGTATCCTCGCCTTCGAAAGGTGTCATTCAAAATACATTTTTCGATTCTAATTTATACCCGAAGGCTCTTTGCGCGTCCTCACGTTTGGCGTAGGGTGCAGAATGGCTGTTACTTGTGTAATAGTTAAAAACCTAATGACGAAGGGTTATCCTGTTTAATCACTGAAGAGTTCAGTTCTTTTAAAATGCATTTGAAAGAGAAATTTTGCCTATATTTGACGAGCACATTTTTTGTGGAGACACTATGTACACTGATGCGACACTTCGGCACACAGGTAACGTTAGTCCATCCATCCTTAAGTTCGGTACAACAGACAGACCCATGGGAGCAGTTACAGGTGTTACAGAATCTCTGGTACGCTGTTTGATGCATTACATTTCATGCGGAAGATAAATCATTAGGCATGCTACCTGTTATATTTATCCTGTGTATACCCGCACTAATTGAACAATATTTCACACGACCGTCGAAATTTAGTTGCCTATGTTGCTTAGAAATGTCTTTTATTTCCCTGTACACATTTGAAAAGCCTTTATAACGTAAACTTCATCCATATAAAATCGACTGTTGAAAGAATGACAACAAATTAATTCATGTAGCATTCTCAGAGCGAATTCACGAATATGAATATACTGGGTGAAACCCCCAAACCGTCGGGCGGTATATTTATAAGCAAGGTACTTGTAAACATGGCAATGCAGAAGTAAAATTCTATTTTTACTACAAAAATGCTAAAAAACAATTGTCAGCATCCGGTCTTAATATATTTTTGCGTTCCTTGTGGTTTGTTTGATGCCAATGGTGTCAAGTCCCATATCCTAATTGTTTCCAGCATCCAAGAACTAAGTCGTTTCGTTTGTTGCAGAGGCATTACTTTAACGATTCACGCAGAGAATGAACATCCCATAGTTAAATCTGAGCATACGACAGCTTGTGGAGTAGTTGAAATGCACCGAGAAGTCATAAGGCACACCAGAATGAGAAATGAGATATTTGAAGTTAAAATTCAGTAAATGGTAATGTGAACGCAAACCACGGTGAAGCTAACCAAGCAAACAAGTGTAGCTGCAATAAATTTTTCTTAGACACAATTTTTCTGCAACTTTGTACTCTTTTCAATGTACAAAAACTCTTTATATTCCTATTTGGTTGGACACTTAAATTATCCATGCTTTCGTGGACAACTGGGGGCGCTGTTGTCGTGTGTCATCCCGGGAAGATAGTGTTCAGTGCATCGGTTTATCCGCTCACATTGTTAACCACATTTCAGAGAAAAGAATTGATGCTTCATTTAATATTGCTATGCACATAAACAAAAAATCAGCAAAAAAGGAAAAATTTAGTTCAGCAAGTCACAGTTTGGCTCATAAATACGGAAATACTCATTGACATGAAAATAAAAAGCCACAAAATACCCTTTGAAATAGTGAAACTGGCTTTAGTTATTCTGCATTTACCTTTGGGTACTCCTATGCCATATCCTTCCTCGCCGAACGGCTTACCCACGCTTACTAGGTTGCACTGTGGATCATTGGCCATCCTGTACTCAATCACAGGTGAATCGTAGATGAACACATCCAATTCACCGTTCCTATGGCAACCAGGAGAGAAGGTAAAGTAGAGAGAGAGAGAAAACAAAACAAAACAAAACAAAATATTTTTTTTAAATCCTAGATTTAAACTTTGCCTTAAGGATTCATCAAGGAAATCAGTTAGCGAAAAAGATTTTTTTTAATTACGGTTGTGTGTCTGCTGGCACGTCAAATATTATCATTGGTGGAAAGGTCACAGCATTAAAGGACAAGTGTAAGCCTCAGCAACATTGCAAAAATCCTAAATGGCTTTGAGATATCTCTAATATTCGCAGTGCTATTGTTACCGATGTTATGGAAAATCAGTGAAAGGATACTTCAACTAGCTGTGAAAAGGGCAAGGCAAGCAGTAATACATTATGCATCTGCAGCTATCACCTGTGCACGTGCAATTTTAGCAGGGTCAGAGCCGCGTAATCAGAGAACGTGAGAATAGACCTAATGTGGTAGCATTCAAATTTGGGGATGAGATTTTGGGATGACAACAGACACATCGCCTCCCTTGAATCACGAAAGGGGCAGCTAAATATTTAATTTTCATTACTTTCATCTTTTTTCAAGCAGTGAATCTGCTTGGCATTGCTTGACTTGTCACACTAAGTCTTGGAAAATCTGAAACCCGCAGGATTTTCATGTTTCATGATCGGCTTGTCCGATCAACTACCACATTGTTTTGCAGAGCCCAACAAAATCCAACCATCAAAATAAAAGCTGAAAATATCAGAAGAAACTTCGGGCATTGCATTATTTATTATCTGCACTAACTGCAGAATAAAGCAATAACTTCACCAATTATTTTTCAAACTACATTGTTAAGCAAAAAGTTCAGTGAATATTGATTATGTTGTGGGCCTTTCGACAAGACGTGTGGAAATATTAATATAAACAACAACATCAGTTACCGTTTTAAACTGAATATCAACTTTGAAATTACATTTCATTTTTAGAACACGCGATACACTTCAGATGGCAACGAAGGCATGAAACAGGTTCTATATCGAAACATGGGTTGTCCATTGAAAAGAAATGATATTCACTGTACTTCTGCTTCATTCACACCCGATCAACCTATCTATCTGGCATTATCCTTTGTCCCAAAAGAAACTAAATACCAACTTTGTTTTTACGCCCGAAGACTATTATCTTAGCTTTTCACTGGAAGTGCGTGAACTGGGAACCTCAACCTAATTGCCGATCAAAGTGAGTTACAAGCCAGGAGCGCAATTTAGTTAGCCCATTTCCTCGCCATTACATCATTTTCTCTATTCTTGTAAAAGTAGGAATACAATTCGGAAGAGTAGAAAGTGAAAAAAAATAAATTACCTAAAAAAGGAGTATTTAGTGCCTAGACATGTTGTATCAATGCCTGCACGACTGAGTATGGATCTCAGACTAAAATGAATATATACAGGTCCTGAAAATTACTGTCCATATTTAAACGGCCAGGGAAAATTGCGCCACGTTGCAGATATACGTGTGTGCGTGCTTAATGTAAAAAGTGTGCATTGTAATTTTGGATATTATCTCAGAATAGTGGCGACATGATAATCCCCGAGAACGTCGTGTATTGTGTTAACTTTGAGGTATATTAGCCGAAACACTCGCAAATCTACTTTTGTACACAGAAAACACAATCAGTTCACCCTATTCTGGAAAAACATTGCGATGTTTAGACAAGTCCAGGACAATCTATACCGTTGGACGCACCGTAGGGCCTTTGCACGTAGGGTAATCGGCTTGTGCTGTGGATGCAGCGGCACGGGCTCACTTCATTCCCTCAAGGGTGTTACGTTTGAAATGCAGCAGGGAAGGAAGCGTAAACAGACAGACGAAAGGAGGGGGGTATCCTCTTGAAATCTCTCGAGTAAAACGGAAAGGCAGCGTTGCCTCTGTCATAGGTGTAAACCAGCATTAAGGACGAAGACACGTGAAGTTTTTTAATACACAAGCCTTTTGAGATAGGAGTCTTCCGGATTCGTTGGGTGTTGTGTATGGTTACAAAACATTTCAGTTTGTAAGATTAATTCCACGAATGGGACGTAGCACACTCAGCATCACCTCTATTAGTAACTGGAGGCAAACGTGATTTAGTTGCAAGCATTTCATTGACTTATGTCGTTCAAAAGCTCAATGATATCGACAGAGTATCAACAGTTGAGTATCAACGGAAAATGTGTGGATTCTATTAGTGCTAAACTACTGCATGTGCTTTCTCTTTACGTTAACTGTTCCCTGCTGTAGGCCTATTCTTGCATGTATTGTACTTTTTGGACTGATGTGTATAGTTTAGTTCAGACTAAATGGTAATGGCGTTTCAAATTCTTTCATTCCATAAAATGTAAAATTTCAACATAATGATCACTGTATAGGAAAACTCGCTTCGAACAGTGGGCTCACACATTCCAGTCACCCTCGTAATTCTTCCTGTCATGAGTGAATGAGTCGATGTCCTGTGGACATGTCTTGGACTAATGGGAACACACGCTCTGGTGCACCAGTGATCCTCCCGGGATTTAGATAAAAAGCAGCGAGAGACAGGAACCATTTGCGCATTGAAGAGGAGCTCTGAAGAGAGTAGCTTGGTGTTTTTGTTGTTTGCTCCTAGTCGAGTGGTCAAAGACAAGTGTTTCACTCGAGCAAGCACACACACACACAAAGAGAGAGACAGAGAGGGAGAAAGGCGGGTTAAAAATGCCCAGGTGTGCTCTCGAGACCCGATGGTGGAGCGTCAAAATACTGGCAATGTTCGTCTTGTCCATTTTTATTGCGGTTCGTTGTTTTACCACCCTCCTCGTTCAAACGTACCGATGATTAGTGAAGCTGTACAGTCATGGGTGCACGATGCTTCAAACTAGATTTTCTTCCCTTTAAGATTTCACACCACCAAGCGATTCGTGTTTGTCATTGCAAATCACAAATCTGTTGGACTGATTGAAAAGGAAGGGCAGACATTGTTTAACAATATTTTTAAGCAAAAAAAAATAATGTAAACTTGTTGACTACGCAAATTATTCCCTAAAACAAATTTTAAGTCGTCGTTATTGAGTTAACGTTGTAGGATATTGACGAGGGATAATTTTGAGATAAAAATACATAAAAACATAGACGCAAATACTGATGTTATAATGTACTTTTCAGTACAAACAAATCCGTCAAATGCAGGAAATCAAAAGCATATCCTTTTCATTTTTTAACATGTACTTTTCCATACTCCTGTACTTGTTAATATTAATTTCATCACAAAATCAGCTTCAAGTTTTTAATTTTTTTCCTAGTTATGGGCACTGACGGTGGTGGATGGGGGTATGCCCTCGTTTAATTTTAAGTTGGGGGATATTACCCCGGCATACACTGCCTCGAATTAGAAATTCAGGCCTGCAGTTATTTTAGGTAAGCTGATTAATTTTCCTTTCCTGTGGAGTTGAACGAAAACATCCAAGCTCGGAAAACAGTAATTGTAAAATATTGATTCAAACATCTATGCCAAGACCCCCTTTCCCTGGTTCACTTGAGTAGGCCTATGCATGACCACGTTTAACCCACACTCATCGTTGAGTCGCACTATGGGTAACTAGATGCTAATATTGTATTGACGCTTTATACAAAAGTTTGAGTGTCGATATTACAGGTAGAGAAAGTGCCATTTTCAGACTGGGTTAGCAAACAAAATAATTACTCTAATTGGGTTATAGTTTTGGAGGTGGAGGTGTTTTGTTGTTGTTTTTGTTGTTGATGTTGTTGTTGTTGTTGTTTTTTTACTTCACTACAAAAGCCCTCTGGCGGGCTTGAATTTGCATGGATGGCAATCCTGGGTATAGACAACGGGGAAATGTCCCTCGCGATAATTTTTTATGGAAAGGATGCCAATGCCAACACCGTTATAGTTTTAACATTTAATATCTGTATATAATTTAAAGGGAATTTGCTCTAAGATATTCAGTTTTAGATTGGACCTGAATGCACCTAAAAATGCACCTACACTGTCCCAAATTGCCAAACGTTTCTCAGGATCTAAGGTACTCATTAGAAGAGCGCTGATTCAACACTTCAGATGAGTGCCGTTTTATCAAATGCTATCGGTTGAGTGGATGGTATCCCGCCGAACTGACTGTAGACTGTATGGCTGCATGTAGTCGTAGGTGCCATGACACAGACAGCAGACAGCAAATAAGCCCTTAAGCTTCATCCACCGTATTTTGGCGAGGACTTGGGAAAGCAATATACTCATGCCCTCCTTGCGAATGTAGTTTGAACGGTTCGTTGTTTAGACCTTTGTATGAAAGTTTTAAAGTTAAAATTTGGTTTTCAAATACATATTAAATGTACCGTTTTGATTTTGTATGAGATATCATCTGATCTGAGCCTTATTTCCGAACAGTCAAAGAGGATGTAAGTCCTCCCTCACACTGGGAAGGGGATTCCTTTGGGACAATAGCCTAGTGAATTGCTGTTTTGGAATACCTTTTGATGTGCCGGAAAAGAGAAGTCACCTCTTGGATATATATGCGATCGGAAAAATGAAGATAGCCATTTCAGATTATTGGACCGTCGTCTGCCACAATTTGGAGAGGGCAGCAGACTCTCATGTTTCTATATTGCGTCCGACGAGTCAGGAAGGGAGACACATTAACAAGCAAAGCGATGATCCGTCAGAAAAATCCGGTACCAATATTGATACGAATACTTGATACTGCTCCACCAATACAAAGTTACTCTCCAAATTTGAAAATGGCGACTGAAAAGGGGAAAATTAACACGGAGGTATACCCTAAACTCGGGTTTAATGTGTGGCTGAGAGGCTCGCCAAACTGGCCAACACTTTTGTTATTAAATTGCATAGATTTTTAACGAAATAACACTGGTCGAACTGAAGTCTGTACTCTTTCAAATTTTAGTCACCAAGGGCACGTTTTATATGTCTTAAAATTATAATCCTCAATAACACGTGAATAAAACTTAAAATCACTATAGCAATGGTCACGTTGTAAGGAACACCCAAGTAAAAAACAACTTGCAATAAAACGGTAGACACGTGGGATGCGTCACACTTCAATCTCTTCCAACTGGTAACAACGTTCACCTCTTTCAATATGCTCCCAAGAGAAGGTTTGAGGAGATTTTATTCTTCAAGTTTTAATCCTGATTTTGATTCTTTACGATGTACATCGTTTTGCCGTCAATTATGTGCCAGGTACGTGCTAAGCTTTTGATCTGACTATTTGATGCAATGTTGTGTATTGGTCACGAACGATTAAGTATCCCTACATCGAATTAGACAGTGCAATTACATAGCGGACAGCGAGTTCATGCAAAGCATTCCACTCCTGAAGGACTCCTCGAACGTGAACAAACATCTTCACTTCCACTGATTCACTGTTTGTTTTTCCCCGATACGACCTGGTAAATGCCATGTTGAACATGGACATGAAATCCGCACACTGACCGCTGTCTGTAGGCTAGTCGATTCCATGATAATGACATAAAGCACTTGCCATGGATCGAAAAATAATTTTCTCTACTGGGTTTAAATTAGAATATTCAACAAGGACGGAAATTTACAAATTCGGAAAGCTCCCAAGAGGGGTAAAGATCATTGAATGAGCGTCCAGACTCCGACGGTAGAATTCCCTGTCGATTTTAACATCAGGTCAGGTGTAGTGCCGCGTTAGCACTGGGAATACGATAAGTTATATAGTTCATCGACGTTTCAGCAAAAAAATGAATCATGCTAGATAATACAAAAGGGGAAAATGAGTTTCAAGCATAAACTGACAAAAATGATAGACAAGAGGCTGATGATTTACTAGCGCTAATGATGACAATACACTGTATTAATTTCCCACTTCCACTTTGCTGTTATCTGTTAGCCAGCAGCGTATAATTTTGGATGTCGGGGGGGGGCTAGCCCAGGTGGACTCCCTGGCTGTACTACGTTACGGAGGGAGTTCAGGATATAAAGGGTGCAAAATCGGGCGAAAAATTTTGTAACTAAAATTTCGACCTTTTCCAAGGAGCCAATTTCACGTCTGTAACTCCTATGCATCCTTATCTCCACAGCTGGTGGGATAAGAAATTCGACACATCACCACCAAAGACGAAAATGGGAAAATAAAGTCAGACGTAACGTTAATTCTTGCCATTGTTGTGGACTGTTTTCAGCCGTTCTCCAGTGCAGTTCGTACAGTGTGCGCGCGCAACTACCTGGCGCACGAGACTCCGAGCTACATACATGCACATCGAAACTACATGTTCTGACAGGAACCAGTGAAACTGAAGTCTAACTGAATCTACTGGTTTCGACGCTCGCATATTAAAAGTACGTAAAGCGCAACTTGGTTCTCAGCCACAAGTACCATTGATCTCCATGCTGAGGACACGCAACATCGGGCTGAGGCGAGGCTGTGGCGTGCGTTGGTGACGGTTGGCCTAGTTACCTGCACGCAAGCTGAGTCTACTACGGCCAGTACGGGAAAGCTAAAATTCAGAATTTGTACAAATTCTTGGCCGTTTTTTTAACATTGTGGTGTCCACAAAATTCGATAGAAGTTAAGGGACTCCCGGCAGTTCCGTACGATCGAGGGGACAGGGTATTATCCAGCAAGGCTTTGGCACATTTCTGTTGCCAGCAATTTACTCGTATCTCTTGATTTGTCCCATTTTAAATTTTTTTTAGCGATGGAGAACTTTTCCACAGATGGTTGTTTTTTAATAAACTAGACTGATGATAAGAGTCAATAACGGCAATTAACAGTCACAATCCCTTGGGCCTGAATTCAAAAACGAAAAATCACCTATTTTTAGATTATTGAGTATTTTGAAACTGCACATGATTTCTTCACTGGTGAAAAACATTAACAAGAATATCAGAAGGCACTTATGATTACAGAGGACTCCAAACAACTACATAGTACATGAATTTGAGTTTCCAGCTGTTTGATGTAGGCCTACGTGAGGCTGAGGATTTTAAGAGAGCATCCACCCACTCCCCAAAACCGTATGATTTAATTAGGAGATTTTTTTTAAAACTTCAACACTGTCCATTGCTCTAAAATCCAACTTGTCACAGCCGTTTGCCGCTTCAGTCTATTTATTGTATGTTTAGTTTACGCATAAAAAATAAAGGCCGATCAACAGCACAATTTGTGCATGATCGCTACTTACCGCACGTGCGCGCGCCAGTACTGCCTCTGCATACTGTGTTCTCGATCAGTATAGCGTCGCTCTCGCCTGTTCATCACGATCATCATGCCCGCAATGTAATCTTCTTTTTTATTCCTCAATTATCAGGATAAGTTACTCTTTCATTTTAATAAAAATCGGATCTTTGCAATATTGTGTATTTATACATGTACATCTTTAACAAGTAAAAACTCTACGAACAAATGAAACATGTTGAACCTTTCAGAGGGATCGTTGATGAACTTATTCCCGCACAAGAACCCTGCATATACAAAGCCTTCTACGCTAACCGAGGTTATTCTTATAAAATAGCAAGTATAAACCGAAATATAAAGCCGAACAAAATCTAAACATTTTAGGGTAACCAACAGGGGTTTAACTTTGGTCAGCCTGAAGCCCCCGATCCGACAAAAACGGATTGCAATTTGATATCATTTCGACGGCACGCGGGTTAAAGCCGGGTACCAGTCACGGCCTCCGCGTAGCAGGCAGTCAACAGACCTTTTCACTGCAAATTGCGCACGCGTAGTGCATACACACTGCTCGGATTCCACGTGCGTGCACTTTACCATGAATTCGAGAACGGATGAATTACATCTACAAAGGTAATGTTGTCTCTCACTTATTTTCCTCGACCTTGCAGTCTATAGTTCGTTCTGAAATTCCCAAACCCCCCAGACGGATAGATAAGGCCGCGCCACGAAGAACTTTTAAACGTGAAAAATTAGTTTCTTCAACAGGTAAACCAAGAACAAATTAGAACCAATTTTGTGGTCGTTTTGTACACAACCTTTATACCCTGGACGTCAGTCATAATGACCTGGGCTGGGGGGGGGGCAACAGCTGTACTACATGTATTCGACTTCCTTGAGGTTTGCGGTTCATGTTCTGTGGCCGACATTTTAACGGTCATGCATCGTAACTTTGCATACTGGTAACATGAGATTTAAACACTACAGAATACTTGCACTTAACTCGGAAACATTAAGTTAAAAATCTCGGAGAGAGCTATTTGCTCTCAGAAACAATCAAAACGCGTATAAAGGGGGCGCAACTTGGACGAGATAGATTCTTGTGAGCAACAGACTTACTTGAGGTTATCTATCGCCTGTTCCGTGCTGTGCTGTATGTAGTTCTCCATGAAGGCGTCTAGGTTAGGATTGAGGCTTCGGAGGTAGTTTTGTATACTGCTTCCCGTCACTGTTCCGATAGTGATCTCCGATGTAGGATTCTTCAACTGAAAGCAGAGTTTGAATTCTCGACAAACAATAGATTCCAACACTTTGGGTAAAAACTGTGGCGGGGATTAAGTTTGAGATCTGTATACTGGATTGTAACTAAATCCTGCATACTGGAGTGTAACTACAGCATCTAATACTCAGCTTGCTTCATTTTGAATCGAGAAGTGAAGTGATAAATTTTCTGTGACACATTGCGTCTAGCATGGAAACCTTACCGGTCTTTTACGTTTGAAAGACACGCATATTTAATTGGTGACTTTTGATGAAAATCGTATAGCATTTGGACAGCAACCAGCCCATATTCCCATCCCAAAGGAGTTTAATCAACGGACGATGTCGTCCCTGAGCGGTAAAAAACCAAGTGTCGACGGCCATTTTTGTAATCAGAACCAGGACTATATACGAAGGGTTAAATACTCGGTTTATCCAATAATGTTTTGGCTGGCGTTTGCCCTGTAATCATGCTCCTGCATAACGTGCTAGCCTCAGCGAACATCTTACTCAAATTCTGTGCACATTTCCCCCCCGGATATTTCCCGCCAAATATTGTGACTCTGCATTTTTAACAGAGGGCATCTCGCCAAGGAGTAGTTGTCTGGAGAGGGAAGGAACAATTTGCAGTGAAAATTCAACGTGCCGTTTGGGGAGCGGAGTGAACATTTTGCCATTAGTACATAATAAAGTAGATGTTTGACAGTGAACTAATCAATCCATCTCAATGAAACACATACATCCACAATTTCGTATATAGGAAACGGCTGACAAGAACAAGTTACATCAACAAAAGTAAGAGACACTTTTCTCCGGTTCAGATCTACTGGTAGCCTTATCCATTTCTTTTTTCGGTCGACTCCATTCACTGCTTGATTAAAATAAATGTCTTGCAGAAGATTTTTGTTAACTGATAGCATCTCTTATCATCTTGGACTTTTGTCTAAAAATCTTTCCATTCCATGTTTCTATACATTTGTCTTTGGACCGGATGTTTTAAATTTTGTCAAACAATTTGATTTTTGCGTCAGTTTTCAGCTTTATCCGTTTGTTTTTATTTCGTGATTTACATTTAATGTTGCGTGTTCAATACTTCATGTGCGGAATGCAAGATTGCACCTTATTTACTACTATTAGTTTTTTGTTTACCTTGATTGTGCGAAAAGTGCAACTCCCTGACGTCACCCTGTGGGCATATACACTCCCATCACAACGTGCTAAATAAACCATGGAAGTTGATCAATCTGTACATTTTTCTCACGGCAAAAACACCCGTCTCCCCTCAGCCATTCAACCTTGTTGCACCTGATCAACCCTGCCTTGACACATCGCCAAAAATGTCACACGTACAGCAACTTCGATTTCCCGACAGATGTCACTGTTGTGCCATACGCTGACGCAAGCAACAACCCACTCTACTGGCTCTTATATAGAAGAACAAAAGAAACATAACCAGAAGGAGAGAAAACTTTGTCTTTGGCTGGTAGTATTATAAGGACCTTGTTCACAGGAGTGAAATCCTAATCTGTGTTTTGTTCTAGATAGATATCAACATTCTGTTGTCCTGTAAGACAGCGCAACCCACGAGAAGGGAGGAAATGTGCTTCATTTTCCAATAGTAAACTATCCTACTTCCAACATTGATCTTCATGGAAACTGTTTTTGGATTACTACATGTAGACTACGTGTGAATATAGATACCAACCTTCCTTACCGTCAATATTGAAATTTGATGCGGACGAATGTCTGATGTAGGCAAGTCTAAGGTTTCATATTAACTCTTGACTTGTCATCTCCAACATTCAAGTGCTTTAAAACCAATGGCGTGAATTGTGAACAAGTGGAGAGCAAATAAGATATGCTGATGTCTGAAATTCCAGATGATATTTAATGAAATCTTGAGTATGATTTTCTAGGTCGTTGTAAGAGCATGAGCCGTTGTCCTCGTATAGAACGCCAAAAGGACCTAAAAGAGAACCCGCTGAAACTGCAACGCATTCTGACATAATACTGTCAGCAGTGTACAGAATCAAGCGAGGAAATCGGCCTCGGACGACCAATGTATGCATTGTTAGCTTGCCCTCTGACAAACCCGGATACTTTGGTCACCTGTATCCGAGGTCGTTTCATTTGGTTTGGAAGTAATCTAAGAGATTAGAACACGTAGGTCCACCAAAATGACAAAGCAAAAACTGGTAGCTTTACCCCTTCTTATGGATATGTTCAAATTTTACTGCTAATGTGTGGTTCACTTCATTTTGCGCTTTGAATAAGAAAAATATTCAAACTGTCGTGGCCTAGTCTAAAGCTATTGCAATTTCTAATCACAAACCTGAGTTCGAATCCCAGGTTGGTTGTGATACAGTAAGCATATCATGCAAGACTTCAGGGCACATTAGTTTGTAATGTTACCGTCTGAAATGTGAATCTATGAGCTAACTGGAGGCCAGGAAAAGCAAATGAATAATGTGATACGAAGCAACTATGCCCGCGCAGCTGTCAGCATTTTTCCCCGCAGTTAACTGCTGCAAGAGGTTACTTCACTTCGGTTTAAAATAATCCTTCAGAGCCATGATTTCAAAATTGAAGGTGATTGTTTTCCACTGAAAGAAATTCAACCTTTTGGCAGAATAGAAACACTTTCTTGGATTCAGACTAACTACCACGTCAACATATGTGTGTGGAGAGTAAATCCTTATAAAAATTTCCCTTGTTGCTTTAAATTTATTCATTTATGTGATAGGTCTCACGCAAGCGAATAATTGTTTGTAAAAAAGCCCACCGTCACCCAAAAGGCACACGCGCATTTTCCACAATGGCATTTTGAGCCTGGCTTCATTACACCCATTTTACAAAATATCTCAATTATAACTACTGCTCTCTCCCTCCCCCTCTACCGTCTCAAACTCCCAGTTGTTTGCGAAGCCCTTGGTTCATGGAGGTTTCCAGATCGAAATCGCATCCGGGAAATCAATTTTTGCCTCGACGTTCATTGAACCCACCTGCTTCTTTCTTTCGCTTCGATGTCGAAATCCGAAAATAAATAAACAACCGTGGTTCGCTCTTCTTCTTTTGCTCTCATTAATCAACATTTCATTAGGCATTGTTACAAAAATCGTCCTTGGTTTTTGATGTTTTTAGAAGCAGAATTCTCTATCGCCCTGTTGAGTGAGCAAGTACCGTTGGTTGACGCGAAGTGTACTCCCAATATTCCAGTCATTGTAAAAGTGTTCATTGATATTGACAGAAATTACATCACCTCTTCAAACCGTTTGCCTTTATGTTTAAAGACTGGATACTGAAAGGTAAGGCCAAAACAGAAAATATTGAAAGGTGCATTAACATTACGTTATAATACAAAATATTTGAACGTCACCAAGACGCATAGCGAGCTGCTCAGGAAAACTAACGCAAGGTGTTTACGATGATACTGCTTTCATCAAGTCACACCATGCTTACCCTCGGGAATTTAATTACTCGCCTAGGTTCGCCGTAATTGCTATTTACTGAAAAAGCAAAGACGAGTGCATGATCTTGCTATTTCAGCTGATTTTGAGATAATAATTATGCCCGACATTCTCAATGAGATCAGTTCAGAACAAATTTGGCTGGCCATGTAAACCTTTTTATCGTACTTGGTTGCCCCTCATCAATAAGAGATTGCTAAGAGTAATTCTTACACTCTACTAAATAAATCTCCACTTCAAAATTTATCTCTGTTACTTGAATCACTCAAAAAAAAGTAAACACATAAAGATAAAATTACAAAAAAATCCGAATCAAACGAGGCACACTTGAAGTGCAGCACAGCAAAAACAGAACAAATCAAACAAACAAAAAACAACAGGAGTTGCAGTCTTCTAATTGTGTGAAGTACAACTACCTAAAGCTTGCGTTTAAATTGCCGTATGGCTTGAGATGCATCTCCACTAATATGATACATGTGTATTTTGTATGTTACGACTGTATTCTAGGTAGGTGAGGCAAAAGGATACAATTCATTAAGAGATAAAGAGAATGTATGAACCTTTGAAATGGGGAGGACAAGTTCGGAATATGCCTAAACCGAGGAAAAACAAAGCAGGCGGGGCAAACATCCCTATGCATGGGGGGAAAGGTAAGTAGACAGGAGTCACCTGGAAGGACAAACTTTAAAGCAGACGATATTGAAAACATACAAAAATACTGTGGGTAACTAGTTCACTTTGTGAAAGACAAACAAACAGAAAATCCTCCCCAAAATAAATGACAACAACAACGACGACAACAACAACAACAACAGGAACAACATCAACGACAGATCTGGGTTAAGGATGACCCCTTCTCATCATTTATAGTTTTGGGGACAACTTAGAGAGGTGACCAGAGTGCCGCTCTAAGGGGCTCTTAATAATAGGGGCTTAGAGATACCTCTAAGGGGCTCTTAATAATAGTATGGCGCGCAAAGTTTACATTATCCGCGTACAGAAATCTCTATTCCTAATAGAGATATCTCTGTTATGTTTCCGGTCCTGCACACTGGGTCAACGGAAAGGTCATTGTAAAGTCACGCACAAAGTTTCATTGAGTCTCAAGATAATAGATTTTTCAACAGAAAACGTCGAGGGCGACCTGCTGACCTCGGAAGCGCAATAGAGATAACCTCTGTTATCAATAGAGATACCTCTATTCCTAATAGAGATATCTCTATTCGTCTATGTATAGAGATATCTGTATACGCAGATTAAACGTTAATTTTGCACTCCATATAATAGGCTCTCTATCTTGTTCAAGCGTAGAGACCACCAGTCAGGAGATAAAAGATCACACAATGGTGTCACAAGGGGGCGTACCACAAAAGAGGAGAATGCAACTAATTTTACCTTGGGATCATTGATATCTTCAATACTGAGGTACGACATTTGACCGGCAAGAAAGGCAGCCAGGTTAGCAGTGTAGCTCGAAAAGAAGATGAGGGAAAAACCTCCCCAGACATTGAGCAACATCCGACTCGTCATGCACTTTGGAGGTTTGGTCTTAATTGTGTTGGAGAAGAGGATGGCGAAAGTGATGGTCAGTGCCGAGGGGAAGCTGAAGGTGCTGTTTCGATTTCGTCCTCGGGGATGCAAGCCATAGGGACTGTTCCACTCAGAGATAGTCAGACAGACAGCCATTACGATTGCTGAGGCGAAAATCAGCATCCAGACATTAGGGTGAAGGGGTGCGAGGAAGGCACCCAACGTCTGCTTCCTCTGTCTTTTAGCTACTAAAGTAGAGAAGCCGGAGTGGAAGAAGGGAGCTGTGAAGTCAATGACAGTGCTTCGCTCTCGGGTAATGCTGAAGGATGAGATGGCAGCATCAGCTTTGCTGTTAATCAGATCCCCCACCATCCCATTCCAAGTTCCATTCTCAACGGCTCCGTGGTTTTCATCTGCCACTAGGTACAGATCGTACTTGAAGTTTAGATCTTGGCTCATGCGTTCGATTAGGTCCACACACAGCCCCGTGCAGCAGCGCAGATCAGCCGAATAGTTGCCGCCGTCAGGCCTCCGACGGAACTCTTCGAATGCCTTTTCCAGGTCTCTACGATCACTGTTTCTCTTTGCCATAAGGCACTGAACCCCAGTGGTACACTCACCCTCGATGCCATTAGACTCACTGTAGAATATGAAAGGTTTCTCCGTGTTGGTAGCAATGATGAGCTTGTGAGTGTCAACCCCAACTGGCATAACCATTGTGTTACCAGGCCACACCACAGTGTCCAGATTCATTGACCCCTTCTTCCAAGACCCAACTTCTTTCCAGGCAGGTATCCCAGACGAGTTTTCGATCAGGTTCATGATGTGGTAAGAGGAATCGCGGAGGTCGCCATTTTGGTCGAACAGAATATTGCCGATTTTACCCTTAAGGCTTGTGTTAGTCATCGTGCTGTCAAGACAACAAGAAGATGTTTCTTAACTATGATTTAACAAAAACTTGCACTTTAAGAATGAAGCTTTTGGGCCAAAGAATGTTTGGACTTCTTAACTTGTGAGAATCTCATTTTCAGAGTAGATGAAGGGCGTAATACTTAACGGAACGTTCGAAATATTTGGAAAACAAATTTATAAACTTTGAGAAAATAATTGGACACTGCAGGATGGAAGCTATGCCTTTTAGATCCTTTCTCCTTTCCTCACAGACCTCAAAACGATAACACTGAGACGAGATCGAGAATAATCGAGACTGTCAACACGGACTTTTTGGGTTCAAGATGCAAAACATTTTTATGACAACTGGCCTGTCACTTATGTTTAAGTGCAACATTGTCAAGTCTTACAGGTGATCATTTAACAATCACTGTCTGTCTTAAAACTGAAAGTTGGATAGTGAGGTGTTATGTCTCTGGTCATGATCAGTTATGCACTCTGCACTATCATGGATGTAAATTAAAAGGAACGATGTTATGAAAGCAATTTCGTGTCAAAGGAGCAAAGCAACTATGGGATCTTTTTTTCTCTGTCTACTTGTTAACTACCCAGTTTGTCGCTTTAGAGTGAATCTCATGAGTATTATTCACTTATAGTTTTAAAATCGCCACTTTGAATAGAGATTCGCTTCCGGAAAGGATTCATATGCCTTACCTGTAGAAGTTGTTTGCATACTCCAGCTGATTACTGTCTGGCCCAGTCCAGCAGGAGATATTTCTGGTATCCCCGTCCCACTTAAGCCTCTGTGCTGATCGGGCAACCAATGTAAATGCATCGTAAAGGTGGTCCCTAAGAGGAGCCGTGTCATAGTGTTTGACAATCAGGAGACCTGTTGGATAGTCCTTCAGGATGTTGGGATCACTGGTTGCTAAGGACTCTGTACCGATGAGGGCGTGACCTTTGCCCAGGAGTTTGAATTCGCTGGCTGCACGGAATACGTTTTGTGCTTCTTGTGGGGAGCAATGGAGAACCATCACGACATAGCTGAAAGCAAGAAGTACAAATTTTTACTGTTAAATGCACAGAGAGTTTCCACAAAGGGTTCCCAATTTGACATTATCGTGGATCTGTTAAGTGCACGAGGACTGACTTTAGACACTTTCGGGGTTATCCAATAGTTTGTTTTACAATTCTCATCATTCTTCAAACGCGGAGTCCCCAAGGGGGCGTGTCAAGTCCTCTTATTTTTATTATTTGTATTAATGATATTAATTCCTCTTTTTGTCTGTTTGCAGTCTTAATTTGCAAGCACCACAATGTGGATACAGCCATTTGGAATGTCAATAAGTAGACAACTCATCTTAAACAAACCATCGATTAACCTGCATAAAAAGCACTGCCTCACTTTTTCTGTCTGTGTTGTGAGTCTGTGGTTAACATAAATGTATAAATAAATTTTTCTGTATGAAAAATTTTTCCCTTAATAAGTATAGAAATGAATGTGTATTTGAACTGAACCGAACTGAATCATCGTGACAAAGAAAGATAATTCTGTCGAGAACAAGCCACAACAACCAACACATTGAGACTTTTCATGATCTATTCTGATTGCAAAGAAGCGTTCGGCAAGATTTCATTTGAGGGCATGTAATGATACTCATTAATATACAATTATAGTCTCCGCTCAAGACGCAATACAGATAGTCTTGACTCAAAGACACTACAACGATAGTCTGCACAATTCAAACTCACGAATCGTCGTTGGCGAGGTTTCTCAAGAATCGACCACTGCTTGCCTCTCCGCTTGAGAACCGCACATCATGCCGTATGTTCCATCCGGGCGTCTGAATCTGGTCGCGGAGGCTCTGCACAAATGCGTCTGACCCTTCCCCTTCACTGGCTACGACGGAGAAGTTGAACCAAGCGTTGCGTTGTAAAAGACTTTTAATAACATGGGCCTGGTTGGTTACTGAGACATCGAGACGTAGAAAAAGAGGGTGTACTTCCTGCAAGTAAAAGAAGATGACAGAGTGGATTGTCATTACAGCTGTGGCATAAAACTGACAATGACATTCTTGCCGTGGAAGCTTTACGAAATAATTTTCCTTGAATGTCTCTCCATTATCCATGAAAAGTGAATGGAATATCGATTAATTCGCGATGCTATTTTGATTTCGGTATTTGTGCATGCCATATGACAGTATTCAAGGGTAATTAGAAATAAGTTGTGATGGCACTGGAATTCTCCTGCGCCTACTGAATGCAGCTTTTGCTGTCACGACGTGATTTTGATAAATTGAATAGAGGAAAGAAACTTAATACTTGACAAAGCAGCATACTGTATATTAATCGAGTAACATAATGATAACCGAGGGACTTCTTTTCCATTGCAACTTCTTGAATTCAAGATGATATGATTCCCTTCATTTGTCAATTTGTCAGTTGTTAAGAAAAATATCAAGAAAAATCTTTTATAACATCGAATCGTGCTCCCATAAACATGTAATTCTGTTATGTTGAAGCATTATGACAGCCTTTGCAAATCGCCTTACAGCGGAATATTAGATAACCTCGTGAATATGCAAATAATGAATTCCTTTGGGTCTCAAGCGATTAATGACCAAGTGCTCAGAAGGTAATCTTTCTTTAAAGATACGTTGCCATGACAACTTGTGATCTTGCGATATTAACCTCAGCGTCGCATTCCAGTTTCGTTCGTCAGAGTGCTGTGCAAGGAGACAGTCAAATCCGAGAACGCATTAATTGAAGTTTGCGTGCCCACGTCATAAAAAAAGACCCGGCGGTCATTTTGGCGGGAGGATAATTCGGGTCTGCTCGGTATTTCCCGCTTTTTGTTAGACGACAAAGATACATAGGCAAGAGATGCAGACCGGAGAAGCAAAGCAATGCTTCATTTTCTTTGCATTTCCCTCTCTGTTCGCTGGATATACAAAGCTTCTTCGTCATTGTCACTACAGTTCTATGAATGATGGGGTGAACTCAATGAGGCTTTTCCATTTTGCCTTTGGTAATTTGGATCAAGCCTATGCTCCAGGGGAGGAAGTCTTGGAGAATGAGTAAGATGGGAACATGAATCAGTTGTATCCCTCTGATTCAAAAACGGATATTAACTGACACTTACAGCTGTTATTAAATGTTTATTTCTTTCATCATTTATATTTTCTTTATGTGTCTTTTTGAGGTAAACGTTCAACCTTTACCGCAGGCAGCCGTGTTTTAATTTTCGAGGTACATGTATGTATATTTCCCGTTATATCTTTTTTATTATAGTTACATGGTTTCCAATTATATTAATTCCTTATATATTATATAGCCACAAACCATAAACAGAGTGAATTGTTTATGGAAAAAAATAAATACTTCAACAACTCTGAAAGGGAAACGGTACAATGAAAAAAATCATACTGATTACTGAAAAACTTTTCCTTTGGTAATTTGAGGCCTTGCAACAACTGTTAGCTACATTAAATCCCTTTTCCACATTAGATTACTGTACCATGTCGTAGGGATGGTTCAATATCGCACGTTTTGTACTGAATGGAAGCAGACAATTTCACGGAAACGGGATAAAAATTAATTCTGAAATATGCAAGACCTCGTGAAATGGAACATTCCATTTGTCACTGAATGATCGCACGAATGTGGAACATTCTTATTTTACGCACTCAGGGGCGGATCCAGGTTTTTTGCTGGGGGAGGGAGTTTCGGGAAATGTTTTGTTCTTATAAGGGGTGGGTAATTACACGTAGTTGTTGCCGTTGGCGAAGTCATTTAATCTTTTCTGTTCTTTAATACTATACACGCAAAATAAGAGCCCTGCATGGGGGTTGAACCCCACCCCCATTCCCTCTACATCCGCGCCTGGCAATGCGGGAATAAATTCTCGTCGTCTGATTGGTACACCATTTTCCCGTCTTACTCAGCATAAAATTTTGATGAGAAATTGCCGAATGAGTTACATGACTTGTAATGCTCTATCGGACGTTTCTGTATGTTCTGTAGATTTCTCCAACTTAAATTGTTCAGCAGCATTTTTGACTTCTTTTTTTTTTGTATTAGCCGTGTTAACATAATTGGAAGTGAGGTTTGTATTTATTGCACTTTTGGAGGAATGGTGCTTTGCGTTTATTATTAAAATTCCTTCAAGTCCGCTTTGTGCTTTAATTTCGTCGATTCGTGAGGCAACAACTATATTGTGTATATACTCAAATACTAAACAATAAAATAAATTATAATCAAAAATTGAAAAGTTACGAATGAAAATTCTTAAATTGCGTATCAGGTGTGATGTGACAACAAGCTGCCCAGTACATATAATGATATCGCCAATCGGTATATCAGTTGGGCCGTATGGGTTACCAAAAGTCTCCCCAAAACGCCCTCATATGTTGCCAAGTGCACCCCAGCAACTCAAAGACATTCAGTGTCAAACATGGAGGTTTAGAACGGTAAAGGGTACGTTTGAGATGTGTTCGGTTTACACAAGGAAGCTGTGGGATGATTACAGTAGTCACCACAGTGCCTTACTTTGACAAGGACACAGTCTCGGTTAACTCATGGCCCTGGGGTTTGGTGGTCCCTCTAACTGTACCGTAAATCCCTTTACTCCAGTCGGCCATACAGCGCCGTTTGCGATTCAGTGGCATCAATGCAGCCAGTGTTCAAAAGAGAAACAACTGCCGCTGGAACGTCCCCCATCCGCTTCCCGCCTTCGTGTATTGACATAAGCAGTCAACGTCATTTCCAACCTCGTAAAAGAGGCCTATGGGACCAGACTACGTTCGTACTTAGGCATTCCACATACATGTATTGACTTTCTCGAGGTGTTCTTGCTCAGTTTTCTCCCCACCCCCCCTCCATTTGCCCACAGGGTGCCGTCCTCACCAGTTTGAGCCTACTGCTCGTCTCGCAGGCACCTCTCCTAGATGGCTCACGTGGATGTTGACTCATTATCTAGGTTATTGCTTGCCTGGCGGTCATCCGTATTATTGCTCCTGCATCTGAGCTCACCTGGTCCATCTTGCTGGACTGTTGATCCCTCCTCGTCAATTTAGGGTTTGTTTTTTACCTCGACCCTCCAAGCCCTTCTCGTGTCTTCTTGAAAGGTTAGTTTATGCGAAATGTGTCTCGGGAGACAGCGCTCAGCAGGAAGTTGAGAAAGCCCAAAGTGTGGGATTATTGAACTCCAATCACAGATGTTAGGTAGTCAAGGCAAACGCCAGAGGGAAAAGTACACGCTCATTTTGCGTCGATAACACTGAGACTGGAGAGAATAAGCGAAATCGCTTTTCCTCCTCAGTCTCAGTTTTTCGTGTCTTTTGGTGTGGACAATGTGCTAAAGATGTAGTCATGTGGTCAATTTTTGCATTAGTGACAGACCTCTAAGTAAGGATACCCTTTTTGTACTCTGTGGTTCTCGTATCTTTTTTCAATTGAGGGAGGGTCGGTCGGTCGGTCGAAAAGAATTACTAAAGAAATTCATGCTAATGCCATATAGATGACTGAATAAACCGGGCAAAGTGCACTACGTATACTTGTCACTTTTTATATTGAGTACCATGGGTGGTTTTGTTTCTAGCTGAGTACAGAGAAATACCTTTATACAGCCTGAAAGTTTACCCCTGATGGCGCACTTCCGGAACCCTTGGATAGGAAAAATAACGTGCAAAAATTTTAGAATTTGTAATATTTTTGCGTTCAGTTACTTTCAAACTTGGAAAACAGTCTTTGAAAAATATTTTCTAGTATATCAATTTACAGAAATTGAAAAATTACTTGACCTATAAGAGAAATATCAAGCCAAAATTTGACCCATCACCTTCGAAAAATTAAAATACATGCAAAACAGTCCATTGCGGTGGTCTCGTACGCAGATGAACATTTACGGTTTGAAATTTTACGGGAGTCTGTCGGTAAAACCCGGAATAAAAGCAGACCATAATATTTTTAATTTATAAGGTAACAAATTTCAAGATATAATCTACTTTTACAAAAGTATTTTAGTTAACTTTGCTGACAACAACTGCGTTATGTCAAATCAACGGAACGTGGAATCCATCGACTACAGGTAGGTAGATCTTTGCAACGTTTTACAATCTCGTTTTCACGTAAGCACGGGGAGTGAAAACAAACGTGCATGAACAAAGACACCTTTGTCTTTATCGTACGATATAGGCTAGGTACGATATCGCTGCATCAAAATCGTTGATGAAATTCGCTTTTTTACCCATCTCCAGGTGACTTTTCTTAAATATATATTGAGGAAGACAAAGGTAAAGTTCCAAAATGAGTGCTTCATGGGGTGGTTTCAGTTAAGAATTATTCTTCGAAAAATTATCGAACGCGATAGGAAGGCCCAATGTAAAATCCCCCTAGGCAGACTGCGCTAGGGTTCTGGAAGCTCGCTGCGTGACCTTTTACTTACAGGCTCTGTATTGGCACACAACGCAATACCTCGTTGGAGTCAGTGTCAAGACACCGTACTGTGTGCGTGTGTGCGGTGCGTATGTACATGGTGCCTGCACGTTTTCGGTTTTTCTTATGGCGCTCGGCGTACATCGAATGCTGTAAGGTACCGCTTGGTCTGGTTGTGATGCGCTACAGTGGATTTCGTCTGTCGCTGAGTTGATGTTTGGGCGAAATCGTATCGCATGTACTCGAGGTCGGGAACCAAAAAATAAGCTCAGTCGGAAATGAGAACCGCAGAATTTCAAAAGGGTACCCTAACGAAAAATCTTGGGATATTTTGTCAGAGGCTTGACACGGATGCCTTGTCAGTGACCACGTGTCGTTGGGTAATGTGATAATGTATTGTTGGTAATTCCTCGACAGAAAATCAAGTAAGCGAATAAAGGAATATAGATTTTTATTCTGTGGCTGATTAGTAATTAATGTTTCTGATGAGTGCATTGATAAAGTAAGCGAAACGGAACATTCAATTTGTCAATAACTGAACTTCTTTTTTCAATTTTACACGCATGAAACA